TCCTCTTGCTATTTTCAGTTGATAAATACTTGTGTAAAGTTTGTGAAGGCAGGAGGAAAGCTTCCGCGATCACCGTCTCCTCTCCGTTCCTCCAAACCCCGCCCCCTCCCTGAAAATAATGAGTGACAGGCTGATAGTGACCCGATAGAAACTTTATTATTCACTTAATCACTGATTGAGATATGATGAAGCTAACTTAATCTCATACATTCATGGGATTTATGTAACAGTAAGACAGATAATGTAAGTGTGCACCCACATGCACTATTTTTGTTTTTATAATGCTATTGTAAATACTCCTGCTGTTTTCAGACTCAAGTCATGTGTGTGATGCCACATTCAAGACATTCAGTGTCTTTTTTTTAACAGAAGACCGTAGCTAGAAGCTGCAGCTAGACTGCAGAAGTATTAGTTTTTTGTTTTTGAGAATGGAACCATTTTCACACACAGATATAGGGAGGCTAGACCTATACAATTGATTTATTATGGTTTATAATTTAATGTCAAGACGAAGAAGAAGAAGAAAAAGATGGCTGAACAACTGTTCAGTGTCAATCCTGTGGAGATCTCCAAAATAATGTTCAGCTTAAGTCTCAGCAAAACTCACAACATTTCTGGAGCCTTGTAGACCCAGAAAATTATAAGAACATTCACCAAGCAGCACTGAAAATGTCTGCTTTATTTGGTTCTGTTCTACATACCTTTGTGAAGCAGCTTTTTCTGACATGAATGAAATCTAAATACAGAACAAGACCGACTGATGAACATTTAAATGACTCTATTAAGTCAACCTTAAGTGGGTCCAGCATACACCTCTATGGTGGACTGCATGCAGTGCCATTCATCTCACTAACAAAAGAGTGAAATGCTTGTAAGGTGGTGATTAAGGACACTTATGTGAATGTTCAGTGATGTACTTATTATGTGGGCCATAATAATATGTGAGAAATCTTCGTTTTCTTGGACCTTATTTTTGATAAGCTTTAGGTATTGCAATTTCACACGTGTACAAAAGTATAGCTTAATTCAACTGATGAGGGCTATGTGAATAAATGTAAGCGATGTGATGCAAGTAGCTCTTGGCCACTTTCATTTTTTGAAAGTAGCTCTCAGATGAAGAAAGGTTGGAGACCCCTGGTCTAGCACAACGAGGGTATTACAATTGAGTAATTTTTCTACATGTATTTATCATGTATTCTTAATACCATTATGTAATGTTATGTTTTAGAGGAGGACCTCAAGCTAGCAAACTCAATTTCAAACAGTATGCAGAGTTGTCCTGCTAAAGAGTTAAAATGTATTATTTAACCAAGTATTTATTCTCTTATTTGCTTTAATTGCAACAGATGATAAAGGTTTCACTGTGATAAGTATTCTCTTAAATCCATAAACCCCTGTACAGTGCTTTGTGGACGATGGTGTTTATGATATTTCTGACTGCAGAGGGACGCCTAGATGATGCCATCTTTCTGTGCGATCGCTGGTGGGTGCAATTATTTATCAACAAGCAATAAGATAAGACATGGCATTGATTCTGCTGGGCCAGTTGCCGTTCCTGCAGGGCCAGATCCTCTCCTCCTCGGTTTGTGCTGTTGATGCAGAGGACGTTGTTCGGAACTGTTCCTCCTCGCTAGTCCCAATGTAATCATCTAGAACAGAAACATGACTTGTAAATTCCACAAACTACTGCAGCACAATACTATAAATAGCAACAACAACTATAGAAAAGACAAACTGAACGTAAACAATGGCACATATGGTGTTAGCAAACAATAGCTCTCGCTAATGCTATCTGCCTAGCTAGCCTTCGGGGCTCCATCGGGGTTGTCGAACATAAATGTAAGGATAAAATAGACTTATTTGTTAGAAGTGAGCTTTAAAACAGATAGGGACACAAAGCAGGGACACAAAGCAGGGACACAAAGCTTTCAAGCAAATAACACAGCGTTAGCAAAAACGTACCATGCAGACTCCAGTAACGCCGTTGGAGAGTCCAGTGTCTGTGTAGAGACCTCCTGAAAGACTTTGATATTGCGAGTTGTCCCGTCGAGCACCCGCTGGACCTTATCATCTGCAATATAATGGACGTCGTCACTTCCTCGACCGACCATGGTGTGCTTTTCTTTGCCATTGTTGTAGCTCCTCCGTTAACAAAAATGCTGTTTGTAAAAATGGATTATCTCGCGCGCAGATTGTGACGATTCTCTCCGACCAATCAGCAGCCGAGAGCGTTGACGTCACAAACACAGCCCGGTTGTCTTTGGCCCTGGCCCCACGATTTTATGAGGCCAGAAAAACTGAGAATTAGGACCAGCCGGCCGGTACTAGGCCAAGTGGAAACGCAACCACAAACGGGCCGCTGACGTCACAGCCCTCTTAAACCGGGCTGCGCGCTGTAGTGGAAACGCGCCATTAGAGACTAAAGTGAACTTTCTAAACACTCAAAGAGTCCTTTACCTCACTGAGCTGTAGTTATCAGCCTCTCAGTCTGACTGGAGTGGACTCTCCCTCCACATTATTTTAGTAACATCTTCTTCTTATATCCGTTAGCGCAGCTAGCACCAGATTCTAATAACAACAGCGCCGGTACCGGTGCGCCCTCCCTCTCTCCCTCGCTCGCTCCCACGCTCACTCGCACTTTGGCTTTGAGCTGCGGGCGCCTGATAAGCCAACATCCCCCATTTCCATCACTTACAGCGCCCATCGTACAGGTCTATATCTAATAATAAAATTATAAAATGCAATAACGTGCTTTAACCAGTAGGTGTCCCTTTCTATCAGCTGTGCACCGTTATGGCGTAAATACAGCCTATCTACCAATTGGATCAAATATAAAAGTCAGCCGAATTAGTGTTGATACTGCAAGGAGAGGTATTGTGTGAAAAGAAATGTAAGATGTTGTTTAATTGCTTATATATTTAAGATCCACGTCAAGTTTTCAGTTTTGGCGGCAGTTCCTGTTTGTCTAGAAGTCTTGTCATCAGGGCTCTATAAATAGAGTTAACTACGGCAGATATGTCATATTTAATGCAGCCGAAACGTGTATTACAATGCCGTTATGTGATGACTTTCAAAGAGAAAAGCAAGCACACTCGGAATAATGTATGATTTAATTTTTGTATACAGTCTATGGTTGCTACAGAGGATTGTGGGTAATGTAAGAAAACCACTTGTTTCTCAGAATTGAAGGGGAAAACGTGACAAAAGCATTGTACACACACTAAAACCTATCAATGTCGTTTAATTAACAAGGATAATCTGGTGTTTTTGAGTTGATGAGTAGTGGAGATATCACTGTCAAATCAATCGACAGTAAGGGGAATACTTACTTCCGGGTGTACAATTATCCGTTATCCAATGGGAATGGACGCTCACATTGCCTTTAACAGCTCCGACACAAACGAATACCGTGCTTCCATGAGCGTCAAATCCCGCCGCAGATGGGAATACATTGCAATCAGTTGAAAGCTATTTGCGTCTGTTTATGAAGCTGAAGGAGCCTAGGAGCGTCCCAACTGCACGCCTCGGGACCCTGACCAAGCGTCGCTCCTGGACGTTTATGGAGTGAGAGTGTGTTGGATGCTAACATTACCCCTGCTGAGTAAGTATTAATAGCATTAGTTGTATTGTTAAGGTACAACAAAGAATATCCATTAATTTGAGCTCACTTTTAGCTGACTATTGCCCCTTTTCCACCAAACCGGATCAAGTACAGTTCTTTGGCTTTTCTGGTGCTGAACCGGTTCTCCTCTGTAGCACCACTTGTGAATCCACCGCTCAGAGCCCGAGTGGAGCTCGAGTGAAGCTGCGTCATTTCGTCATCGTTTGCGTCATCACGTAAACGTTTACGTTCCTTCTTATGACACCCACACAGCACGAAAATCCCTCATATCAACAACAATGATCCCGGTAGTCTTTCTTGAGTTTTTTTAGCTTGTTGCTTATTTTCTCCAGAGTCCGGTGGTATCCAGTGGTGGCCAACTCCCGCTGCAGCTGCTGGAAAATAGCTTTAGACCGCGTTGTGCCGTCCAATTTCCTCTGTACCTCTTGCGTTGACCAAAGCCAGAGGAGGTAATTTGTCTCTTCAGTTTACACAGGGTATATGCAGGAATCCTGAAGTCAAATGTAATACCTTTTAAGAACTTTTTTAAGACCCTTTCCATACATTTTAAGACCTCATCGCAACTTCGAGTTCTAACCGGTTACATTGGCAACACACTTTACCTCACATTTACTATATACAGTATTGATTGTAAGATAGCACAACTAAACAGTTTGTGATAACTCCTTTAGGACTGCACGATATATCGTGTCGTGATGATAATCGCGATATTCACATCGCAGGATTTTTTTCTTTTCTTTTTTTATATATATTTTTTCATTTCTTTTTATAGGACTTGCGATATTAAGTAGGCAAATTAACTCAAACACGTCATGTTACAATTATTTTGCCGCTTGCTACAAATGGAAAACTCTCATGTCAGGGGTACCTGAGTGAGTGACATGCAGGCTCTGCATGCACAGCAAACCACCAATCACAATCAAATCTCCAAAGCAAACGGACCCAGTGATTAAAGGTAAAAACACTGAATAAAGTAGTTTCATGTGTTTCTCCAGGGCAGTTCGGCGCTGCTAACCGAGCTAGCTCAGCTTGTTGCTCTGATAACTTAAGATCCAGACGTCCGTGACTAAAATCCTTCATCCAGTTAAATATAGTTAAAAAAATACCAATTGTATAGCATTAAAGTTCAAGAACGGATGGTTTGCGGAAAAAAACAACTGCCTTTTCTTCAATTCCTGTATTTTTTCATATCGCAATATATATCGCAGGGGAAGAAAATATCGCAATGTCAGTTTTTTCCAATATCGTGCAGCCCTAAACTCCTTATCATAATTCAGATAGAACAAAGCACAAGAGAATGAATTGTGTGACTAACCCAATGCATTGATTTAGGCATTGTTCCCAAGAGATAAAACAGACAGACTACTGAAGCCTCCTCTCCACATGAACTTCAACCTCTCTGTCAAGGTCAGGTTTAATGTAGTATGCTGCTTTGTGCTCTTTCATTCCAGTAAAACTCCTCAGAAACCATTAGAAACCAGTATTCGACCAATAAACCAAACAATTGACAAAACGTTGAACTATGAAATATATTAAACTTTGGTGAGCTTCAGCCATGTTGGAGCTCCCTCACAAATACCCAGTGGTTAAATTGGGCCGGGGCTGTCCGGGCGAGTAGCATGACAACATTTGTGGCGAAAGAAGGAGAATAAGATGAGATAAGTATGTCGAATACTATACTGTGTGGCTTCGCCATCACACAGAATTACACGGGAGCATGTACACTAGGTTTACAGTACAAAACACATTGCATTTCATTTTTTCAACGGTTTCCGTCTGAAAAAGATTTCAAGTTTTTTCTCATGATAAAACAATACATTATTTATTAGTATAATAAATGCTTTAGGATGACTGTTCATTCAGTGCATTTTTCATGAAACCTGTGTTCTGTCTGGCAGTCCATGTATGAAGTGTAGGTTTTCCCTACGGAAGACATTCTTCTTGAAACAACAACAATTAATGAACAAAATAAAATGACAATACATTTACTTTCTTACACACATAAAAAACATCACATGACAGTTGTGTGTAGTGTGATGGTTGTGTAGTGAAATCTTAGCACGAGTATCACGTTTCCTATGATACTGGAAGCAGTGCGGACTCAGCTGCTGCAGGTCAGACATCTGTCGTTTTGCTGCGCTTGCTTTCACTGAAATAACAACAAAAACACACTCAGTTAGGAAAAGGAGAAAGGCCACACTATTGTGTCCAGGGTTGGGAGGGTTACTTTTAAATGTAATTAGTGCCTGAATACATGGCTCTGAAAGTAATCCGAATACAGTTACGTGTCCTAAAAAAGTATTCAGATTACTTTTAATATACTTTCTTTTGAGATACTTTCTTTTTCCATAACAGATGGGTATGTTTTGGTGAACAGGAGACTCTTATTTTACTGTTGTAATGGCTTATCAAGAGCACAACTCAAACACAACATCTTGGTGTCATTCTGGACAGCTCCCTCTCATTTGCACCCCACATAAAAAACATCACCCGGACTGCATTCTTCTCCAGACTTCGCCCTGTCTCAATCCAGCACTGAAGTCCTGGTTCATGCATTCGTCACATCCCGTATTGACTATTGTAATACCATGCTCTCAGGCCTTCCCATCAAACTCCTCAATAAACTTCAAATCATTCAGAACTCTGCTGCCCGGATCATCACTTGCACCAAATCCTCTGACCACATCACCCCCATCTGCATTGGCTACCTGTAAAATACCGGATAGAATTCAAAGCCCTCCACAACCTGGCCCCCATATATATCTATATATATATATATATATATAGATATATATATATATATATATAGATATATATATCTATCTATATCAGGGGTCGGCAACCTTTTTGATATGAAGTGCCATTTAAAAAATAAAATCTGATTAGTGTGCCGACGTTCGTGAACTGTAAACGGGGGGGGGGGGCTCGACGCTCGTTGCCTGTCAACTGGAGGGCGGGGGGAGCCTCGCTGCGGGGAAGCTGTGGACCTCTGTCGCCTATCAGCGCAACTTACATGATGCAGTTTAAACACATTTAAATAAATAAAGGGCGGTGCCGGCCGTCAGCGAAGCGAGCCCGGTCGTCAGCGAACCGAGCCCGGTCGTCAACGGCCCGCTGGCGACCGGACGTACTGTGATTCTCCAGAACACACAGTTGGCCAGTATTTTCGATGACAGATCGCCACTGGGCTTTCAACTAAAGACACAGCCACGCAAAAACTGCGGCATGTACAGCTCCTTATACTGCAATGTGTGAAGTACGCTACACCCCTGATCGTTTCACCATGGAGGAAAGCAGCAGAAAGTCGACTGGAGTTAAAGAGAGCGGGGCCTAGAAGTTATCCTTCTGCGCTGCGTTGCGTGCATGGCGTGCATGGCGTGCATGGCTTCCTTCTCCAGGGGGAGACGCGCTCTGCCGGCGGTCTCGTTCAGGATTCGAAAATACAATGTAAATATTTTTGCACACTTATTTAGGAGGAAGTGCATCTCTGTCTCAGTCTCACCTGTCGTAGAGTCACCACATATTCCGTTTTCTTTTGGTTGCCAGGATCTTTTGAGTCTTCCTGTTTCGATTGCCAGTGTGTGGTCACTGAGCCTGTACTTGGTTAGGATCTGTCTCTGCTTTCTATCTCTGGCAGTAGACAGATATTCTGCCAGTTTATAATCTCTGTTTAGAGCCAGGTAACATTCTAATCTACTTTGGCTTTTAGTTTCTTCTTTCCAATGTTGTAAATAGTTGTCTTTACATTGTGTTATAATGCGTTTGACTGTGATTGGTGTTTGGAGAGCAGTGTTGTTGAGAGACTGGACAGAGTGGCTGTGAGAGGGGGCAGTTAGCCTCAGCACCAACAGACATAGGGGACTCTTCTCTGGGTTTAGCTCTTGGCTTTGGAGGGCTTTGGAGAGGAGGGTGTCTCGGGGGCTGGATCTATGGTAGTTAAAGAATGTTAGTGCTCTATTTTGAGTGTTAATGATCAGAGGGTATCTGCCTAATTCTGCTCTACATGCATTTGTTGGTGTTTTTCTCTGTACACGTAAAATGTATCTGCAGAATTCTGCATGTAAAGACTCTGTTGGATGTTTGTCCCAGCGGGTATAGCTCTGGTGACTGAGTGGACCCCATACTTCACTACCGTACAGCGCAATGGGCTGGATCACACTATAAAACATGTTAAGCCAGATTTTAATTGGAATTTGGAAATTATAAAATGTTCTCTTAATTGCATTTAGAGCTCTTCTGGCTTTTTCTTTTAGTGCATTCACTGCCATGTTGAAACTTCCTGATACTGTTATGGTTAAACCAAGGTAGGTATAACTCATACTATGTTCAATGATATGATTATTTATGGTAAACTGGTATTTGTTCTCCTGACATTGTATTTTGTGCGTGTTTATTTACTTTTTGCAGTTATGCTTTTAACATGGTTCGCAACATGCAAGCCGACCGCACCAACTCTGCTATACAATATAGCAGAGGAACTTCTTCACATCCGAAACTTCGTGGACAATAACCCACCGACAGACAATGGAGATTCGCCATGGCTACCTGTTGCTGTCCTACCTGAGAGACGCAGGAGGAAGACAAAGCGAGGGTCCCGTGCCGGGCTGCTGGTCAGACTGAGAAAACGAGGAAACCGACCCCCTCTTCCGAGTATTCTTCTGGCTAATGTTCAATCCATTGAAAATAAGATAGATGAACTCAGAAGTCGGATTGCTTTTCAACGGGACATTAAGAACTGTAACGTGTTAATTCTCACTGAGACTTGGCTCAACCCCACTATCCCGGACTCCGCCATTGTTCCTGACGGATTCACTATTTTTCGTCAGGACCAGACTGTTAACTCGGGGAAAAGTAAGGGAGGCGGTGTGTGTGTAATGACTAATAACAACTGGTGCACAGATGTGAAGATTATTTCTTCGGACTGTTCCGCTCATCTAGAGCACCTCATGATCACATGCCGGGCTTTTCACCTGCCGAGGGAATTCACATCTGTTGTGATAACAGCAGTGTATATTCCACCGCTCGCCGACAACAACACGGCACTCGATCAGCTGTTTGGGATTATTGATAAGACCGAGACTTCACGGCCAGAGGCGGCGTTCGTTGTGGCCGGGGATTTTAACACTGCTAACATGAAGAAGGTCCTGCCGAAGTACTACCAACACATCAGCTTCCCGACAGGCGGGGGAAACATACTGGACCATGTTTATTCCCCTTTTCGACATGGATATAAGGCTCTCCCTCGCCCTCCCTTCGGCAAATCAGACCACATCTCACTGCTGCTGCTGCTGCCTGCTTACAAGCAGAAACGTACAGACCGGTGACAAGGACAGTACAGCGATGGAGTGAGGAGTCAGACTCAGCACTGCAGCACTGCTTCGAATCTACGGATTGGAGTGTGTTTGAGGACAATAACATCAACACACACATGGACACGGTCATCTGCTACATAGGGAAATGCATCGATGACGTGGTACCGAAGGTTTCTGTACGAACATTCCCAAATCAAAAGCCCTGGATAAACGGCGAGGTGCATGGCAAACTGAAAGCGCGCACTATCGCGCACAGAGCTGGAGATTTGGAGGAGTTCAGGAATTCTAGGTATGAACTCCGGAGAGCAATCAGCGGTACAAAGAGACAGTACAAAGAGAAGGTGGAGTCTGACTTCAAAGGTTGTAACACCTGGAACATGTGGGCGGGACTAAGAACAATGACAGACTACAAAGGAGCAGCGGGGGGTGCTGCGGGAGTGTCTGCGTGCGCATCTCTCCCAGATGAGCTGAACAGTTTTTTTGCATGTTTTGAGAGCAGCCAGGCTGTGGAGGTACAGAGGGACCAGGAGCTAGAGCCCTGCCCTTTTGTTTTAAACAGGGCAGATGTGTGTAAATCCTTTAAAAGGGTTAACCCACACAAGGCTCCTGGACCTGACGGCATCCCTGGCCGTGTTCTCAGGGTGTGTGCAGTTCAGCTGGCAGAGGTGTTCACAGGTGTAGTCCCCACATGCTTCAAACACTCCACCATCGTTCCTGTCCCCAAAAAGACAAAAATCACCAGCCTCAACGACTACCGCCCAGTAGCACTCACCTCCATCATCATGAAGTGCTTTGAGCAGTTAGTCAAATCATTCATCACCTCCTCCCTCCCTGACTCTCTGGACCCCCTGCAGTTTGCCTACAGAGCAAACAGGTCCACAGACGACGCCATAGCCCTCACCCTCCACACTGCCCTCTCACACCTGGACCAGAGGAACACATATGTGAGAATGCTGTTCATTGATTACAGTTCAGCCTTCAATATCATTGTGCCCTCCAAGCTGGTCATCAAGCTCAGAGACCTCGGGCTCAACAGCGCCCTCTGTGACTGGATCCTGAACTTCCTGACGGGCAGACCCCAGGCAGTGCGGGTGGGAAACATCACATCCTCCACCCTGATCCTCAACACCGGTGCCCCTCAAGGCTGCGTGCTCAGCCCTCTCCTCTACTCCCTGTTCACTCACGACTGCGTGGCCACACACAGCTCCAACACCATCGTGAAGTTTGCTGACGACACGACCGTCATCTGCCAGATCACAGACGGCGACGAGACGGCGGACAGAGAGGAGGTCGAAAACCTGACATCTTGGTGCCAGGATAACAACCTCCATCTCAACATCAGCAAAACAAAGGAGCTGATTGTGGATCACAGGAAGCAGCAGAGAGAGGGACACGCCCCCATCGCCATCAATGGGACTACGGTGGAGAGAGTCAGCAGCTTCAGGTTCCTCGGTGTCCACATCACTGAGGACCTGACATGGACTCATCACTGAGGACCTGACATGTACTCTTCACACCACCACCATCACCAAAAAAGCTTGACAGCGGCTCTTCTTCCTCCGCAGGTTGAGGAGGTTCAACATGGACTCCAGGATACTCTGCAACTTCTACAGGTGCACCATAGAGAGGATCCTGACCTTCTACAGGTGCACCATAGAGAGTATCCTGACCTTCTACAGGTGCACCATAGAGAGGATCCTGACCTTCTACAGGTGCACCATAGAGAGCATCCTGACCTTCTACAGGTGCACCATAGAGAGCATCCTGACCTTCTACAGGTGCACCATAGAGAGGATCCTGACCTTCTACAGGTGCACCATAGAGAGGATCCTGACCTTCTACAGGTGCACCATAGAGAGCATCCTGACCTTCTACAGGTGCAACATAGAGAGCATCCTGACCTTCTACAGGTGCACCATAGAGAGTATCCTGACCTTCTACAGGTGCACCATAGAGAGTATCCTGACCTTCTACAGGTGCACCATAGAGAGTATCCTGACCTTCTACAGGTGCACCATAGAGAGTATCCTGACCTTCTACAGGTGCATCATAGAGAGTATCCTGACCTTCTACAGGTGCACCATAGAGAGCATCCTGACCTTCTACAGGTGCACCATAGAGAGGATCCTGACCTTCTACAGGTGCACCATAGAGAGGATCCTGACCTTCTACAGGTGCACCATAGAGAGTATCCTGACCTTCTACAGGTGCACCATAGAGAGGATCCTGACCTTCTACAGGTGCACCATAGAGAGCATCCTGACCTTCTACAGGTGCACCATAGAGAGCATCCTGACCTTCTACAGGTGCACCATAGAGAGCATCCTGACCTTCTACAGGTGCTCCATAGAGAGGATCCTGACCTTCTACAGGTGCTCCATAGAGAGCATCCTGACCTTCTACAGGTGCTCCATAGAGAGCATCCTGACCTTCTACAGGTGCTCCATAGAGAGCATCCTGACCTTCTACAGGTGCACCATAGAGAGCATCCTGACTGGCTGCATCACGGCCTGGTACGGCAGCTGCACCGCCCTCAATCGTTAGGCTTTACAGAGGGTGGTGAAAACTGCACAGAACATCACCAGGACGGAGCTGCCACCCATGGAGGATCTTTACTCCCAGCGGCTCAGGAAAAAATCCCTCCGGATTATAAAAGACCCCCATCACCCCAGCCACAAACTGTTCTGTCTGCTGCCGTCTGGCAGGCGGTACCGCAGCATCCGGACTAAAACCACCAGATTCAGAGACAGTTTCATCCGACAGGCAATAAGACTGTTAAACACCTGAACTGTTGAAAGAACATCCATAACATTCATCTGCTACTTAGTAATTATTTATCTATTTATCTAATATATCATTCCAATAGCTTGCATATAGACTCTTATTGCACTATTTCACTTTTTTAAAACTATTTTTCTTTTTGTATTTACTTTTTAATATTTACTTGCACTATATTTTTCTGTTTATCTGTATTATTGTGTTGCACTGTTGGAGAAGCCTGTGACCTAAGATTTTCATCGACACAACTACCTTGAGCTATGTTCGTATGACAAATAAAGAACCTTGAACCTTGAAGTTCATTTATATATACATTAAATATAGTCGGACTTAAATTGCAACCCTGACGAACACCTCTTCTCTGGGTGAAGAATTCAGTTTGTTTGTCTCCAATTTTAACTGCACACTTGTTTTCTAAATACATTGATTTAACCAGATCATACATTTTGCCCCCTATACCACAATGTAGAAGTCTATAATAGAGCCCTTCATGCCAAATAGAGTCGAAAGCTTTCTTGAAATCAATGAAACAAGTGAATATCTTACCATTTTTTGTTTGGTGTACATGTTTGTTAATTAAAGTGTGAAGGGTATATACATGGTCGGTGGTGCGGTGTTTTGGAAGGAAGCCAATTTGATTTTTACTCAAGATGGATTGTTGGTTAAGGAAATCTTGTATTCTTTTATTTAAAATACTACAGAATAATTTCCCCAGACAACTGCTGACACAGGTGCCACGGTAGTTATTAGGGTCTGATTTGTCTCCACTCCTATGAATGGGGGAAATGAGCCCTTTGCACCAGATGTCAGGAAAACATCCTGACATCTCTCCTCTCTCCTGGCCCCCACCTATCTGGCTGACCTCCTATACCCCCTCTCGCTCCCTCCAGCCTGCTAACTGTCCCGACCCCACGCCTAGTCACAATGGGGGCTCAGGCTTTTAGCTGCTCCCAAACTATGGAAGTCTCTCCCCCTTCACATCCAACAGTCTGACACAATCACCACATTCACGTCCCTCCTCAAAACCCACCTGTTCAGATCAGCCTACTCACTGTAGTGCTACATGTCTCCTGTTTCCCAACATGTTCCCTGTTACAGTCCTTTTGTACTGTCTTAAACCTTTCCTTAGAATATTTTATGAATTGTAAGGTGTCCTTGGGTGCTTTGAAAGGCGCCTCTAAATAGAAATAATAATTATTAACTGAAACGATATAATAACTTTTAAAACTTTTTCCAGTCACTTGCCCCATGCATTCAGCAGTCAGACACTCCGCGTGCACGTGCAGCAGTGTAGCATCCAAATTAATAATATAGCGACAAGCGGGAGACAACGTGTGTCTTACTCAAGGGGAATTTAAAGTGAAATGGAATTGGTTACAAAACGTAACTACACATCTCCGGTGTGGCAGTATTTTGGATTCAAGCCAAATGAACGAGGCCAACCTACGGATTTGACTGAGCCGGTATGTCGCATTTGTTTAAAAAAGGTAACGACAAAAGCTGGCAATACCACAAATCTTAAACTACACCTAAAACACAACCACCCCATTCCGTTTTCCCAGCTGGGAGCAAACACGGCAGCTGGAGATGGAGAGCCCCCACCTTCCAATGCAAACATGTTGATGTTCCTTGCTCGAAAACTTTGAAATACAGATTTGGATATGGCCTGTTGAGGCATCTGGGTCTTTGTATGGACAGTGGACTGTACACTTGACTGTTGTATTGAGGGGTTTTTTTTGCTTGTGAGACAATGTGTGCTCATATTTATATATATATATAAATAGATAGATAGATAGATAGATAGATAGATAGATAGATAGATAGATAGATAGATAGATAGATAGATAGATAGATAGATAGATAGATAGATAGATAGATAGATAGATAGATAGGGAGAGCTCTGTTTTCCAGCCTGAGTCTATTGATCAATTGATCAATTGATTGTTTTGGTTGTGTGTGATTTAATTAATTTATTATAATTTAATTAATTTGTTTTATTTATTATATATCATTTATGTATTTTAATATTATTTCACATTTCATTTGCAATGTTGAATGTTCAACAAAAAGTTCTGTTTGAAAGGATGTACTTGAATTATTATTATATATTATCATTATGTCAGTGGTCTAAAATAGTCTTACAACAGTGCGGACAACATTTTTTACGGGGCGTGGTTTGCAATTTGCCCAGCCAATCAGAAATTGTAACCTTTTTCTCCCCAGGAAAGTCCCTGCTCTCTAGCAGGGACTAAAAAGGGGTGCAAAGGTTCTCAAAAAAGAGTTCTAGTTCCAGATCTTTTTGGTGTGAACGCAAAATCCCAGGAACTATCGGAACTATTCCTGGGAAAAGTACTCCGGTGTGAAAGCGCCTATTGTTCTTTCTAGCCATTCACTTTTATGGCGGCCAGTTTCAATGGCAAGTTTATGGTCACTAAGTCTATATCTAGTAAGGGTTTGTCTTTTTATTGGATGTTTTATTTGGGTCAAATATTGGGCTAATTGAAATTCTCTGTTCAGAAAATTATAGCATTCTAGTTTATTTATTGCTTGGATTTCTGTTTTCCACTGCTTGGAATATCTTAGTTTATTATCTTTGTCTATTTGTTTTACTTGTGAGTTGGGAATTATTTTCGTAGCATCACTTATAATGTTCCATTCAAGGTATATTTATCTGGGTTCAGATAGCTTCGCTGTTCTAAGTATGCTTTGTGTTGGTGTGAATCCGAATCTATCAAATGGTTCCAACCTTTTTTTTTTTTTTATTAAGAGGGGAAATTGTCCCAGTTCTGCTCTGCAGCCATGGTTTGGACAGATTCTATGGACTCTCAGTATGTTTTTACAGAACTCAAGATACACTTTTTCAATTTGGTTTTAGTCCCAATGCTCTTGTTTTAATTAATCTCTCTCTCCAAAATGTATTCACTTCAGGTTTACAAAAGTAACTATAATCAGATTGGTTCATGTGTTGCTCTCGGGCACGCTGCCTACCGTAGCTCCTCTTTCAGACGGGCCAGTTTGTCGTGCAGCCGATCATTCTTCACCTGAATGGGGTTGTTGGGAACGAACCAGGCAGCAATGAACTTACACACCACCACAACATGCTACAGGAAAAACAAAAGAGAACATACACAGAAACTATTTCACTGCGTTCTTCAGTTCATATGGACAGCACTGACGAAGAAATTATGGAGTACAAACCTCAAACAGGATGACGAAGGCAAAACGCACAGCCAAAACCAACCAGAACTGAGAAGTCAGAGTGTAGTCTTCATCACTCCTGTAGTCTCTGTAGCTGCAGGCACACACCACACAGAGAGTCCTGTTTATCACATCTGTGACAGGTTTGTCTTTAATAGTTGGATTAAATCTCCTCACCTGCACTGTGTGACGTTGAAGCCGTCTGTGATCATCTGATCTGGAATAAAGTCAGTTCTAACTGCCTGGTGTCTTACAAAAGCCGTGGAGAGAGTGTCATTTATGTAGCCCTGCATGCAGCTGCAAAGAGATCACAAACCATCATGGTGACACACTGTACAGTTGGCCGACGTGTAAACATACATTAGTCCCAGCCATTACAGAACTCACTGTGTGGAAGTGCTTCCATTAGCACAGGGGCCATAACGATAACGGTAAACAAGGCGTGGAATGAAGTCTGAGGAGACTCCAATAACTAAACCATTAGCAATCACTGCTAACACACCAATGACCTCCAACACCTTTGTCCACACACCTGCAGACAGAGGACAGTGCTGTTACACTCACACACCTGCACACAGCATAACCAACGGCAGACTGAAGGAACTACCAGAGAGAGGTATTGTCACAGGTTATAGAAAAGAAAACAAGTAACTTTGTATCATCATCGAAAAAACTGACTCATCCAAATATGATTCATGCATTATGTTAGGAAGCGTGGTGAAAAGAGGATCTTTACGTGAACAGCATTCAGGAGTCTTCAGATCACATGGTGGCAATGTCCGCACCAAAAATGTAATATTTGGGATTTTCTTACCATCCTAACAATTATTCTTAGTCATTTCAATCTGTGAGATGTTTTGCTAACTGACACACTAACAGGACATACTGTCACATACAGTTCGTTTAATAAATTCATTAGATGCCTGTACATGTTTCAGTATAGGTGAATGTTATTGGAACAGGATGTTGAAGGTTTCCTGTGGAGTGATCCTTTATTTATTTATTTAAGGTTATTTTATGTATTATTACAGTAACAGACACACAGCTCACCAATGTCGTTGGTCTTTCTAGGGACCAGCCGGCGCTCCAGGCGGACCATTTTGATGGCGTCAAGACGGATCTCGAAAATGTTATTGATGAGAGCAAGCAGGGGGGCCAGGGGGAACGCTGCCACGAATATGGTGGTGAAACTGAACTGGACCACTGGAGGGGAGGGACAATAAGTAAGATGGAAAGGTAATTATTCAAGGAATGTGGAAAGTGCATTATGAATAAGTGAAAAAAGTTCTGAGAAATGGGTGTTGTTTAAATACTGTTGCATAAGAAAGAATAATAGGATTTACCACTTGAGGATTTTCTATACACAGCAGGCAACACATATTGAATTATGTTCACATATGTAGGTTCTGAAGTAGCTGTACTTACCTACCTACTTATTTGTCTATATTGTATTCTAGTACAACTAATGTGTGCTTTTATTCTATATATTAATATGTTAGCCTATTGTGTATTATTACCTGTCATGCTACTTTTGCAAGTCATTTCAAGCCTTTCATTAGAGTGAGCGTATGCAGGAACGTGCGGCCGCCTGAAAAAAACTATTTTAGTGTGGACGTTCTGAGCACTTTAAGATGAAATAATTTCAACTTTTCAAAAAACATCAACAACGTCACTGTAGAAATTGGAGGAAAATCTGATTTGAAACGAAAAATGATCATAATTCAGATCTGCTGGGCAGACCCTGATGTGTTGCACTTTAATATGCATGACATTTACTTCAATATGTACAACATTTAGTTTAATATTTACAATCTTTATTTTCATACAGTATGTACGACGTGAGTGAGTGTTATACTTTTATCTCCGTATGCAGATCTTCCTCCTCGCTGTAAGGCTGTCAGGCGGAGCGGTGATAACCTCATTCAAACTTAGTGCGAGAGCAACAATCCTCCAGTGGATGTTCATGCAGCAATGTCAAACTAATATATAGCAGCATAAACAGACAATCCAAAGGAGCGATGCTAGTTTTTCACAGTGATGGTTCATTGTACAGATATTGTTGTCATAAAAACAGTATAAGTGCCGGGAGTTTTTTTTTTCTATAGGCCTATAGTATAGGGAGAGCAAATCCAAATAGCCTTTATTTGATAATGGGTTTTAATTCCTTATTTTTGAAAGTGTTATTTATTTGTGAAAAAGTGGATGACTTTTGCGAAAGAGTCTTAACAACAAATCATTTTCATCTCTAAAGAGGAAACGTTTTTGTATAGTTCTGCCCTTGAGTCTGCTCTCGTATTATGCCCATGCACAAACAAACTCTTCAAATCAAGATATCTTAAAGGAGAGGTGTCATGGCCATTTCCACTGATCATAATTCCATTGTTGAGGTATACTAAAATAGATTTATATTGTGCAATTTTCCAAACTCACATTGGTTTCTCATACAGCATCTCTGTAAACTACGTGTATTTACTGAATTTCACTATCTGCCTTTAACGGCTCGTTGTAGCTCCCAAAGCTCCAGCCCCCACCCTCCCTGTGAGCACAGTGTGCTCTGATTGGTCGGGACGTTGTGAATCGCGCTGAGCTCCGTGGAGGTGTTGTTTCCTTGTTTAGGATACATAGCGAAACACAGCCAAACTCATCCTGAGCACACACAAAGTCACAGCCGAAGTAAAAACAATAAGTGTGGCTTGATATTGATTAAGAAAAAGGTTGATAAACGCTGTGAGAATGGGTCTGCAGAGAGAATTTTGCCACGATCCCAACTGTCTGTTATCAGCCTGCAGCCAGGGAGGAGAAATCAGCAGAGTTGCCTGTGTGTGAGGAAGTCCGTGGATTGGTCAATTTGGACCAATCAGCGGGGGCTTAACGTAATGGCTCCGCGGACGTAACGTAACGGCTCCACGGATTGGTCCATTTCGTTCCGGGTACGGGATTACATCATCCCGTACCCGGAAGAATCAAATGGACAATGACGTATCTCCAACGAGGCGTTTTGGGGAGGTATTTTCTGTGTTAGAGTTTTACTCGCTATAGGGTGTACTTTGAGGGTTTTGACTCTGCACACCGTTTACATGCATAAAAACCTTCATAACACACAAGGGGACGGGTAATAACCGGAAAAGCATGACACCTCTCCTTTAACCTAGTGCAGACATTGCAGATGTGTCAGGACTTCACAAGGATGTTGCACAAGGATACAACCCCTCGTGGAGCTAGAGAGTTGGGTTTTTGGTTATGAGTGTCAGCGCAGACTGTGGACATACCCATCTCCAGGAACTCATTGAACAGACTGAAGGCATCCGTGTGGGCCAGGTGATAATTAGACAGCCAGTGGCGAAGTTTGCAGACGTCACATGGTTCAATGCGTCCCTGTTCGTCACGGCAGGACTTCCTGTAACAGTGACCACACTTCCTCTCCAGCTTCTTTGCTGTTTTTCTTCTCAGACAGCTCTTTAACCAACTGGAAAACACAACATTTTGACATGAATGCAAAGTAACTGTGATTTTCAATGGACACTATAACCATTGTTCCCTAATAGTAGATCCTAAATGAAAATACAGCACACTCACGGCACAATGAACTCAAAAATGTTGTTGAGAGTCTGTTTGAGCAGCATGATAACAGCCATCTGGATGAAGAGGTCTGTCAAACAACCGCTAGGATGGCACTACAACACACACAAAATATATCATAGAATAAGAAATGTGGTGCAAACATGCTTTATGAAAGGCAAAAAATAACTAAAACCCTAAACTAAAACTAAAGTCTCCTCACCTCCTCCAGTCTCCATCCAGCGATACGGACATAGTTCCCTGGATGGCCGTTAATCCTGTGACAACAAAACCTTAGCTTCACATCAACAAAGAGCATTTAGAAACTGGCTACAGTCCTCCTGTACTACAGTACGTGAGACAGCAGTACATGCTGAGGAAAAAGGGACAATAAGAGGTTTGATTTTTAAATGTTGACAGCGGCTTTGTCAATGCTTTATCTAAGTGTCGGATATGTGCTGGACTTCATGAGATCATTTAGAAATAGTCAAAACTAAGCTGATCTGTTATAATATCTAACCAGTCTGTTATTGGCATTTCTTCATTACAACACCACACATGTTTGTTTTATCTCCCCCAAAAATACAAGTAAATATAAGTATTTTAAACTTGTGGTTGATCATGGTTAATAACAGTATTATTTGGATTAACAAATGTTTTGCCCAATTGATACCAATAGTTTTAATCTATTATTTCAGACGGAGATATATATAATGTTTTAGCTACTCAGCTATGAGTTATTTATAAAAAGCGGGAGCAACATGGAGGAGAAGTGGATTAAGTTCACATCTCCAATGAAGTTGGGACGTTGTGTAAAACAAATAAAAACAGAATACATGATTTGCAAATCCTTTTCGACCTATATTCAATTAAATAGACTACAAAGACCAGATATATATCTACTTTATGTTTTTATGCAAATATTAAGTCATTTTTTATTTGATTCCTGCAACACGTACAAAAAAGCTGGGACAGGGGCAACACAAGACTGGGAAAGTTGAGGAATGCTGAAAAAAGTCCTGTTTGGAGCATTCCACAGGTGAACGGGTTGATTGGAAACAGGTGAGTGTCATGATTGGGTATAAAAGGAGAAACCCAGTGGGGCTCAGTCGTTCACAAGCAAGGGTGGGCGAGGTTCACTACTTTGTGAACAACTGCGTGAGCAAAAAGTCCAACAGTTTAAGGACAATGTTTCTCAACGTACAATTGCAAGGAATTTAGGGATTTCATCATTACATTACATGTCATTTGTTAGACGCTTTTATCCAAAGCGACTTACATACATTCAGTACTGTGGACAATCCCCACAGGAGCAATTTGCGGTGAAGTGTCTTGCCCAGGGACACAACGACCTGCTGACTGCAGTGGGACTCGAATTTGCTACCCCCTGATTCCAAGTTGAGCACACTACTCACTGAGCCACAGCCTCCCATCATCTACAGTCCATAACGTCATCAAAAGATTCAGAGAATCCGGAGAAATCTCTGCACGTAAGCTGCAAGGCCGAAAAACCAACATTGAACCTGTGACCTTCGACCCCTCAGGCAGCACTGCATTATAAACCAACCTCATCCTGTAATGCCCCTTTACCACCAAACTGGTTCCGGTTCAAGATCCGTTCTTGAGCTTTTCTGGTGCTTAACTGGTTCTTCTCTGTAGCCCCACTTGTGTTTCCACCGCTCAGAGCCCGACTGGTGCTGCCGCTGCTGCGTCATGACATCACCATTTACGTCGCTGATTTTCTCCCCAACGCTGCTCACAACAACAACAATGGGGGACTGTGTCGGGTCGAAGATCGTGTTGCTATTAATCATACGAAGCCAGATTCAATTAAATAACTACTTCCCAACCCTTATACTTTTCTCCAGAGAGCCGTGGTTCATTGTTTATTAATGTGGTTCAGGGATATTTTTTTCACTGCTGCAGTGCTGCTCTTCCACCGGAGTTTATTCTCCCGTTAACTCACGGCTATAGTCTCCCATTAACTCACGGCAGAGTTTAGTCTCCCGTTAACTCACGGCAGAGTTTAGTCTCCCGTTAACTCACGGCAGAGTTTAGTCTCCCGTTAACTCACGGCAGAGTTTAGTCTTCCATTAACTCACGGCAGCGGCCGCTGGATAGTATTCACTGTCTGACTGTCACACAAGCAACTGATAAATATCCCCCATCCCCTTAAGTGAATGAGTTTCAGTCTGAATTGACGCTGTTTGGCATCGCAATGCGTTGTGGAGTTTCTCTGGTATAAAATGGGTGATGTTAGCATAGCAACCAAAGCTAATCTGACTTTCTTGACTACTTGTTGCTATCCTATTGTGGCATAAGCCGTTTTCTACAGGCATATTCTACCGGCATATTTTTCATTATGATTCTACTTAGACGGACATGACAACCTGTGTAGCCCATGTATTGATTCCATCCGATAGCTGCTATAATGCAAAACAACAGGAAAACGTCTGCCTGCTCTCCATCATGATCAATAACTGCAAACGGATGGTCAAAGTAAGGTAAACATAAACAGAATCACACTAAGCCTGGTTAGTGTTGCCTGTGTTGTTTTTTTTTTAGAAGTGTGTGGTTGCGTTCTAGTCACTTTGCTCAGCGCTACTGCTTGTTACAACTTGTATTTGCCGTACTCGCTTGAACTGTTATTGCGTGTGGCGTAGTGGGTTGTCCGTAGGTGTTCGGATCAGGGGGTCACAGGTTCAAACCCCACTGCAGTCAGCATGTCATTGTGTCCCTGGGCAAGACACTTCACCTCAAATTGCTCCTGTGGGGATTGCCCACAGTATTGAGTATGTAAGTTGCTTTGGATAAAAGCGTCTAACAAGTGACATGTAATGCTCAGGTTAATCTCGCCCCCTCCGACGTAAGCGTGACGTATTGGCTCTTGGTTCTTGGGCAGCCGAGTGGGGCCAGCTAAGAACCGGTTTTCGGTGCTTAGAGCCGGCTCCTTCTTTTTCAGGGACGTCCCTGCTTATTTCAGCCGGACAATGCCAAGCCACATTCTGCACAAGTTACAACAGCGTGGCTCCGTAGTGAAAGAGTGGGGGTACTAAACCGGCCTGCCTGCAGTCCAGACCTGTCTCCATTGAACATGTGGGGTGCATTATGAAGCACAACATACAACAACGGAGACCCTGGACTGTTGAGCAACTGAAGTCGTACATCAAGCAAGAATGAACAATTAGTGTCATCGATTCCCAAACAGTTATTGAGTGTTGTTAGAAGGAAGGTGATGTAACACAGTGGTAAACATGCCCCTGTCCCAGCTTTATTGGAACGTGTTGAAGGCATCAGATTAAAAACGAGTGAATATTTGCAAAAAGGGTATATATTATATATCTTGTCTTTGTAGGGTATTCAATTGAATATAGGTCAAAAGGGATTCGCAAATCATTGTATTCTGTTTTTATTTACGTTTTACACAACGTCCCAACTTCATTGGAATTTGGGTTTGTAGTTCTCACCTTCATGTTATACAGTGAAGGAAATAATTATTTGATCCCTTTCCGATTTTTTACCAAGTTTACCAACTTGCAAAGAAATGAACCGTTTATAATTTATTTTAATGGTAGGTTTATTTGACTAACGAGAGACATAATATCAAAAAGAATATCCAGAAATGTACATTAAAGAAGAGATATCAATTGATTTGCATTTAATTGTGTGAAATAAGTATTTGATCCCCTTGCAACAAACAATCATTCTGGCTTCCACAGACCAGTTACACAAGTCCTCTTCCTTTAAGAAAGTACTCCTAATATCAACTTGTTACCTGTATAAAAGACACCTGTCCACAGAATCAATCAATCAGATTCCAACCTCTCCACCATGGGCAAGACCAAAGAGCTATCTAAGGACCTCAGGGACAAGACTGTAGACCTGCACAAGGCTGGGATCGGCTACAAGACCATCAGAAAGCAGCTTGGTGAGGAGGACACAACTGTTGGTGTAATTATTCAGAAATAGAAGAAAGACAAAATGAGCATCAATCGCCCTCGGTCTGGGGCTCCACACAAGATCTGGCCCCGTGGGGTATTGATGATCATGAGAAAGGTGAGGGATCAGCCCAGAACTAAACGGGAGGAACTTGTTAATGATCTCAAGGCAGCTGGGACCACCACAGTCACCAGGAAAACTATTGGGAACACACTACACCATAATGGATCAAATCTTGCAGCGCCTGAAGGCCCCCTGCTCCAGAAGAACATGAAAGGCCCATCTAAAGTTTGACAATGAACATCTGAATGATTCAGGCTTGGGAGAAGGTGATGTGGTCAGATGAGACCAAAATCAAGATTCTGGCATCAACTCAACCCGCCGTGTTTGGAGGAAGAGAAATGCTGACGATAACCCCAGAACACCATCCCCCCACTGTCAAGCATGGAGGTGGAAACATTCTGCTTTGGGGGTGTTTCTCTGCTAAGGAGACAGGAAGACTTCCTGCATAGAGGAGAGGATGTACGGGGCCATGTAGCGTAAGATCTTGGCCGATAGCCTATTTCCCTCAGCCAGGACTCTGAACATGGGTCATGGATGGGTCTTCCAGCAGGACAATGACCCTGAACATACGGCCAAGGCAACACAGGAGGGGCTAAAGAAGAAGCACATTTAGGTGAGGGAGGGGCCTAGCCAGTCTCCGGACCTTAATCCCATAGAAAATCTGTGGAGGGAGCTGAAGCTTCCAGATGCCAAGCATCAGCCTCAAAACCTTCAGGATTTGGAGAGGATCTTCAGAGAGGAGTGGACCACAATCCTTCCTGAGATGTTCAAAAACCTGGAGACCAACTACGAGAAGCATCCGACCTCTGTGTGTCCAACAAGGGTTTCTCCACCAAGTACTGAGACACGTTCTGCAAGGGGATCAAATAATTATTTCCCACAGTTAAATGCAAATCAATTTTTATCTTTTATATAATGTCCATTTCTGGATTTATTTTTTTATATTCTTACTCTCACTGTTAAAATAAACCTGCTATTAAAATGATAGACTGTTTATCTATTTTTAAGTGGGCAAACTTACAAAATCTGCAAGGGATCAAATACTTATTTCCTCCTCTGTAAGTTCTCTGCTGTGAACAGGCTGTAACATGCAATGTGTATTTCCAAGCCACCAGCTCCAAAGGAATGCAATCAGCCACTAGTACAATATCAATTCATTGAAAGTGGCCATTCAGCACTTGGCTGATACATATAACTGTAGCCAAGTCTGTCTTGGATGTGTTAGTTCTGTTTATTCTGTCCGCTGTAAGGACGCCCAATATGCGCAGCCCAATATGCGCAGCAAATAGCTAAGGTTAGTGGTGCAAACATGCGAACAAATTCTTCTGCTGATGAAATGTACATGCAGACCCAAGGGGACCGTGTCCAACAGAAGGATGCAGGAAGTACTACATGAGCTTCAAAAACATACAAACAACTACAGAACACACAGTCAGTTACAGAGTACCTGCCCAGGAAGAAGGCCACGTAGAAGAGCGATGAGAAGAGAGTGAAGAACTGGAAGGTGAACATCTTCACTGTGAAGTTCCTCTCTGTGGCAGCAAACGAGTTGGTCTTCTCTACACACACACACACACACACACACACACACACACACACACACACACACACACACACACACACACACACACACACACACACACACACACACACACACACACACACACACACACACACACACACACACACAACACACACACACACACACACACACACACACACACACACACACACACACACACACACACACCACACACACACACACACACCACACACACACACACACACACACACACACACACACACACACACACACACACACACACACACACACACACCACACACACACACACACACACACACACACACACACACACACACACACACACACACACACACACACACACACACACACACACACACACACACACACACACACACACACACACACACACACAATGTAAATATTGTTAATTCTGTGTGACTGGCGAAGCCACACACAGTCTAGTATTCAACAATCTTATCTCATGTTATTCTCCTTCAGAAACACACAAAAAACACATCAAAAGGTGCGGAATGACCGGGATCGGGTTGCTATGTCTTTTAAAAAGGGATGTGCCTAGCCGTTTTCACGCAAATCTCAGAAAACTAGGGCTGCCCCCTTATAGTCGATTAATCCCTAGTCGATTTATAAAGTCTTAATCGAGCAATTTTTCATTAGTCGATTAGTTGAAAAAAAAGCCCCATTCGTGCGCTGCATGTAATGCGTCAGCCGGAAACCCCCTCAGACTTCATTCAGAGCGGAGCCTGGTCATTAAAGAGCCCATGTCATGCTTTACTGGTTATTACCCGTCCCCTTGTGTGTTATGAAGGTTTTTATGCATGTAAACGGTCTGCAGAGTCACAAACCCTCAAAGTACACCCTGTAGCGAGTAAAACTCTAACACAGAAAAGACCTGTCTATGCTGCCCCAGAACGCCTCGTTGGAGATTTCTCATTTTCGATTGTTTTCTTCCTGGGTTCTCTGACGTGTCAATACCCAAATCAACAACAAATGGACCAATCTGCGGAGCACCTCACACACCAGGATCCCTTGGCTAACTAACAGGGAGTCCCCATTGACTTGCATAGAGCTCCCTGAACGCTGGTAATAGACGAGTTGGGATCGCGGAGAAATGCTCTCCGCAGACCCATTCTCACAGCGTTATAAACCTTTTTCTTACTCAATATCAAGCCACACTTATTGTATCTACTTCGGCTGTGAGTGTTTGTGTGTGCTTAGGATGAGTTTCGCTTGTTCTCGCTGTATCGCCGACCCGGAAACCTGTCCGCTCCTCGCAGCAGCTCGCAGCAGCGAACGGATTTCTCAGCCTGAGACGGCGGGACGCGGCGAGGCTGTGAGTCTGTGTGTGAGCACACACACAGACTCACAGCCAGCCAGGCTGGAGCAGGAGCTCCAACAAGCCGTTGAGGACAGAGAGTGAATACACATACTTTACAGAGATGCTGTATGAGAAACCAATGTGAGTTTGGAAAATTGAACAATGTAAATCTATTCTAGTAGACCTCAACAATGGAATTATAATCAGTAGAAATGACCATGTCATGGGACCTTTAAGACTTAGAGTGGGTGACATCACGGCTAGAGGGGAGAGGAGCTGTACAATCTGAAGAGGTTTTTTTCCAACTATTGCTCGGCTGGCCACAATTTTCACTCTTCATACATAATTTGGTGATCATAATGTAGGGAAATTTGTCACGGCCGCACCGATATGCTCATTTCATCAAACGGACTTACACATATAGCAAACACGAGAGTCATCAGGTGTGTTCATCTGGTATCCTAAATACTCTGGGTAGGATACTTAGCTGATTGGAGTTACAGTTGTTTACCTAGAAGCAATAATGCAGCACAATATTGTTAATACATTCTCTGACAGGCTGTCTCTCGTTCACTGGCAGGGCGTTGCCGTGGAAACGCTTTGATCTTTGAACACACCTGTCGGTCGTTTCGGTCGTCGTTAACATTTTTATTGTATCTTTTACGTATTCTTCTTTCTGTGTCTTTGTATGCACCACATATACTAAAGCAAATACCTGGTATGTGTAAACCTACAGGTAATAAACCGATTCTGATTCATAGCGAATACAGTATTATGATTTGGTCTTACCTATGTCACAGAGCTTAAGGGACACCCATCTGTTTACCTACAGGTGAAAGAGAAACAGAAATATGTGATGGTTCCGTTGCTGGCAGGCAGACCTACAACAGCTGAATGGTGTTCCTTTTTCTCAGCTGTTTCCAGCTGTTTCTGTCACTTCAATCACCACGTACTAAGCTCATAAGCACATGAAATATAAATATACCATATTAAATCTGTAATTCTGAGGTTTGATTTCTCCAGCAGGACAATGACACAGTGCATCGTCAATCATTTTCAGAAGGTTAGAAAATAAAATCATTTTGTTTCGTTTTACTCAACCAAAAAACTAAGTAGTAAAACTACAGAAACTCCATTTTGCAGTGATCACTTATTGTATTCCATGGCTGTAAATGTTTAAAGGTATAATTATTGATTAATTAATCAAGTTGTCATCATTTTAATGTTGCATCGGTAGAGGTAAAGGTGAAGTTCATTTTATTGATGCTTTATACATTTGGGTGGCACAATTTAAAATAATATACAATCATTATAAAAGATATGAAGATATTAACTATCCACAGTACTCTCTGGCGGGGGTCTAAGAAATAGTTTGCAAGAAATAAGTGCTTTACCCTAAAAAGTGCATTCCTTTTCCTTTTAAATGTCTGAATTTATTGTCACTCTTGCTACTGTTATTCATTAAAAGCTTGGACGGATTCATAACTTTAAAAGAAAAAATTATGTTGAGCCCAAATGAAATTTTATTAAAATGAATCTCTGCTTATAAGTGGTATTACATTGTGTATTTGTTCTGGTCATCAGTTTGAAATAGGTCTGAAGTATTTTGGTTGAAAAGTTTTAGAATACAAACAATTTCATGCCATCTTAGAGTACAAATGGTAATAAGCTAAATCTCTGTTATGGTGAGTACAGTACTTACTTAAGTTACATTTCACCTCTCTTAATGCTGCTTAAATATATGATTTTTATTGACGACTGAGGAGCAGCAAATATTATCCTAATTCAAGCAACTTTGTAGGACTTCTCATGTCAGTCAATAACCTGAAGCTTCAATGTTTCAACAAATATGTCAGAAAAGGTTTTATTCTATTTAGATAAATATGCACATAGCACATCAATATGCACAGGAGCTACAGTGTCATTATGTAGTTTACATTTTCTTACAGAATAAGCAATGATGTGTTGAATTATGTGGTCTATCTTAGCGCAAGCAATTTTTCCTGTTCTTCATTGTGTGAATGCACGATGAAGAGAGGGGGGATGTATACGTACCCGGGTCATTATCTGAATGGTGAGGTAGTGCAGCACAGCTCCCAGCATCACAGCCACAGTGTTGGCATGATCCCTGATGAACTCCCAGCTGCCCTCAGACATTAAGGGTGCAGCCACCACTCGAAACACCACCAGGGCATGAGCCAGGCCGATGATCAGCATGAGCTAGAGCACAAAACACACACACTCATCTTGCTTTATTTTCTGTTCTGTCAATCTGATTTTGCAATCATCCTTTTACATTTGTTTTTTCTTGGAGTAACGTGGGTGCGGCGAAAAAGATGGCGGTAAGGGGCTCTCTCTATTCCGAAGAGTATACGGAAGTATACCAAATCAACACAATGTATAAGAAGATTATATCAATAGCCAAATGCTAGAATAAAATCAATGGTAACCTGACTGATAAAAGTAGCTTACAGAGATCACCCACGTTATTTGCAGATTTGATGGGCACCGTTCGGGATACAAAATGAATATTTCCAAAACACAGATACTAGCTCTAAATTACACACCATCAACAACGATTAGGGAATCATTTCATCTTAATTGGAATTTAAAGCAAATACAAATATCTTGGGGTTATCATCACTAAGAGAAAATCAAAAATATATAGAGCAAACTATAACAAGATAAATCAAGAAATACAAAAAGGTGTTCTCTAATCTACCACTAGATTGTACCTCAAGTATTGAGACAAAATGAATCTTCTGCCTAGATGTCTTTATCTTTTCCGGTCCCTGCCAGTAGAGGTTCCCCAAACTAAATGTGTGACATGGGATAGGTTCAAATCAAGGTTTATCTGGGAGGGCAAAAAACCTTGAGTCAGATATGAAACTCTCTAGCTACCGAAAAATAAAGGAGGCATGGGCCTTCCAAAACTAAAGGAATACTTCATTGCTGCCCAGTTAAGATATGTTGTGTGTTGTGCAAACCAGATTACACAGCAAAGTGGAATGAAACTGAAAAAGAGTTTGTAGATAAACCAATCCAGAACATCATTGGCGATAAAGAAACATGCAAGAAAATTCTAAACTAACTATATACAATTACACTGTTCACTCTAAAAAGTATGGTTCGAAATAATTAAAAATAACAAGTTAGAGAAAAGTGCACGTTTACTAAAATGGGTAGCATTCAATAGTCATTTAAAACCAGCTGGGAACGATAAGGGATTCAAACAATGGGTAACAAAGGGGATTACAACATGGTGCACCTTAGAGAAGGATGGGGAGCCTGAGAGTTTCCAGCATTTGAAAGATAAATATGATCTAGACCAGGGCTCTCCAACACGTCGATCGCGAGCTACCGGTAGCTCGCGGGCAGCTTTTCAGTAGCTCGCCGCTCGATTATCGATTATAGCGTAGTAAGGTTGCTTATTGATTTTTCGGCCGCGGCTGGACCATAACGTTTTTTTATTTTAGAATTTTTTCTGTCACATGAATATCAAATGGTCGGTGACGCAGAGATCAAGGAACAGACGTGACAGCAGCACAGCGACATCACACACGGAGCAGTCTGCTTTCTCCACCAACACCAGTCCAGAACCAACAGCAGAATGACCCGCTCTGAATCAGGCCCTGTCGCTGCGCCTCAGAGACACACAGGGAGGGATTTGTGTTTTTTGAAAAACACTCGTTATCGTCATGTCAGGTTTTTGGTGGATTTAATCAAGTCTTGGATTGCAGAGTATGAATGTCCTCTTGCTATTTTCAGTTGATAAATACTTGTGTAAAGTTTGTGAAGGCAGGAGGAAAGCTTCCGCGATCACCGTCTCCTCTCCGTTCCTCCAAACCCCGCCCCCTCCCTGAAAATAATGAGTGACAGGCTGATAGTGACCCGATAGAAACTTTATTATTCACTTAATCACTGATTGAGATATGATGAAGCTAACTTAATCTCATACATTCATGGGATTTATGTAACAGTAAGACAGATAATGTAAGTGTGCACCCACATGCACTATTTTTGTTTTTATAATGCTATTGTAAATACTCCTGCTGTTTTCAGACTCAAGTCATGTGTGTGATGCCACATTCAAGACATTCAGTGTCTTTTTTTTAACAGAAGACCGTAGCTAGAAGCTGCAGCTAGACTGCAGAAGTATTAGTTTTTTGTTTTTGAGAATGGAACCATTTTCACACACAGATATAGGGAGGCTAGACCTATACAATTGATTTATTATGGTTTATAATTTAATGTCAAGACGAAGAAGAAGAAGAAAAAGATGGCTGAACAACTGTTCAGTGTCAATCCTGTGGAGATCTCCAAAATAATGTTCAGCTTAAGTCTCAGCAAAACTCACAACATTTCTGGAGCCTTGTAGACCCAGAAAATTATAAGAACATTCACCAAGCAGCACTGAAAATGTCTGCTTTATTTGGTTCTGTTCTACATACCTTTGTGAAGCAGCTTTTTCTGACATGAATGAAATCTAAATACAGAACAAGACCGACTGATGAACATTTAAATGACTCTATTAAGTCAACCTTAAGTGGGTCCAGCATACACCTCTATGGTGGACTGCATGCAGTGCCATTCATCTCACTAACAAAAGAGTGAAATGCTTGTAAGGTGGTGATTAAGGACACTTATGTGAATGTTCAGTGATGTACTTATTATGTGGGCCATAATAATATGTGAGAAATCTTCGTTTTCTTGGACCTTATTTTTGATAAGCTTTAGGTATTGCAATTTCACACGTGTACAAAAGTATAGCTTAATTCAACTGATGAGGGCTATGTGAATAAATGTAAGCGATGTGATGCAAGTAGCTCTTGGCCACTTTCATTTTTTGAAAGTAGCTCTCAGATGAAGAAAGGTTGGAGACCCCTGATCTAGACAAACATGACTTCTACAGGTACTTACAACGAAGGGATTACTTTAAGAAGCAAATTAAAAGAGACCCCTCTGGTGCTCTGGAGTTTGGGCAGAGCATCAGATTGGGGAAGAAATGGGATTTAAGTGACTTTGAACGTGGCATGGTCGTTGGTAACAGGCGGCTGGTCTGAGTATTTCAGAAACTGCTGATCTACTGGGATTTACACACACAACCATTCCAGAGAATGGTCTGTGAGCGGCAGTTCTCTGCGAGAAAATGCCTTGTTGATGCCAGAGGTCAGAGGAGAAAGGCCAGACTCGTTCAAGGTGGCAACAGTTACTCAAATAACCACTGGTTACAGCCAAGGTATGCAGAAGACCACCTCTGAACCACAACACGTGGAACCTTGAAGCAGACGGGCTGCAGCAGCAGAGACCCCACCGGGTGCCCCTCCTGTCAGATAAGAACAGGAAACTGAGGCTACTATTCTCACGAGCTCACCAAAACTGAACAAAAGAAGGTTAGAAAAATGTTGCCTGGTCTGATGAGTCTCCATTTCTGCTGCAACATTCGGACGGTAGGGTCAGAATTTGGCGTAAACAACATGAGAGCATGGATCCATCCTGTATCAACGGTTCAGGCTGGTGGGGGTTAATAGTGTGGGGGTTAGGTGATGATTTTTCATAAACAAGGTATTTCATCAATATTACGATACGGTATATACAGCAACAGTACCCGACAGTACCGGACAGTGATAATGATGAGGAACAACAGCTACTCTTCTCTAATATCATTTGCCCAAGCTACATTCTGCAAGTTGGAGTCACCAATAATTGAGGGTGAAATAAGAAGAGCAAATTTAAAAACGAAAACTGGTAAATCACTAGGGTAAGATGGGTTTCCAGTGGAATATTATGAGGAATATGTGTAAATCTTGGCTCTGGTTTTGCAGGTTTATCAAGAGGCTTTTGAAAAAAGGCCACATGCCACCAACATTTAGTGATGCTTTAATATCTCTAACTTCTCACAGAGATAGAGACAAAGCAGACCCATATCATTTGATATCATATATAAAGAAACAAAGTCTATAGTGATAACCAACAGGGTTAGTTCTCACTTTTTCAGCTTGTCTAGTTGGACTTGTCAAGGGTGTCCTTTGAACCCCTTAATGTTCATCATTTTCTTTCAGACACATTAGCTGTTAGGATCAGGAAGGAACACAGGCTACTACTGTATTCAGATTACATTTAAGATGTGGTGACTCCTGTGACGTCTGTACCAAACTTAATAGACACTATTGAGTCCTACTCTAGACTTTTAGGGTACATATCATACATACACATGATTTGTAGATAGCAGGAGAGTTGCATAAAGATGGTAAAATCATGTCTTATACAGTCTTAATTTGTCAATTTGTTGATGCAGTGTTCCGCCAGTATTTCACTGTTGAAAAATAGAAAGTGTTTTTTTGTGTGTGTATGTGTTTCTCTCACCATGACAGTAACCAAGAAGAGGACCAAGGTGCTGCGCAGGTAGGAGTGTCTGAACTGATTGGGTTTACAGTTTGGGTCATTGACTATTTCAAGAATGAGTTCTTCCTGTCAAAACACACACAAAACCCACAAATAATAATTTACACAAAATGGAGTCAACTGAAACGTATCTAAAATAACAATAATCAGATTTGTTCCAGACAACAGTAATTAAAGATCCATTAATACTTTGATAAGTGAACAATTGGCTCTGCTGTTTCTTTCCAACACTGAATATTTGGAGTCGGTTGTCTGTCCTTGTATGTTAAATATATTGCTTGGATGAGGGTAAAGGTACACTGTTTTTACTTTTTGACTGCATATTATACTTCATATTTTGGATACACTTTACTCTACAAAGCCTGTTGCAGCAACTCTCCGTGTGTGCATCGAATCTGCGTCTTTTTGACATTTTATTCGGAATACATTTAATCTAATCTTATCTAATCTAATCTAATATTGTCTATACTCTTTACTGTAAATTAGCAGAATACTGTGTAGACTTCAAATAATTATTCTTTCTACTTAAAGTTTTGGGTTTCTGTTTATGATTTCTTTGTAAATATTGGTCAAGAGTTATCTCCCAAAATAGCAGCTTGTCAATGCAATTCACTAGAGCAGGGGTTTTCAAAGTGTGGGAAGGTGAGCCTCCCCTCGGAGAACATAAGAACAGCCGCGCCCCCCCTCCCAATTATTATTGCTATTATTATTGTTGTTGTTGCTATAATGCAGGGGTTTGAGCACGCCATTTGAAGTTACTCTTTTTCTCTCTTCTTGTCTCGTCTCTGTGTGTCTCTGTGTGTGTGTTTGAATCTATCGTGCTGACTCACTGACTGCACCGATTTGATAGGCTGACTAGCGTCACCTGCTTAAAACATTAAACAATAACTTTTTAATCTTTATGTTTTAAACATATTTTTTTTAAATGTTTAACATTTTCTCCTTATATCCTTATATGCTCCCGGCAACACACTGAACGTCAACTTTGCCTCCTTATTACACTCACCCCTACTTTAGTGGGAACAATGAGTCTGCGTCTTTGATGCGCACAGGCGGATGATGCGGGGATGCAATGTAGACAGGAATAAACGCAGATCATCCTCTGGCTGCAGCCTTGACCAGTACTTGCTTTTGATCAAAGTAAGTATTATTAAAATAAAGGGCGGTGCCGGCCGTTCTGTGATTCTCCAGAACACACATATGGCCAGTCCGCCCCTGCCAGGACGGTCCATGAAAATCCTAGCTTCAAATAATCGTGGTCATACTTCCTCAGTTTTCTGCCAGACGCTGTCTCCTCTCTCACTTTAGGTAACTTCACTAAAAATCGATCCATGTTGCCGCTCGCATAAACTTGGCTGAAGTTAACTAGCTAGATTTCAGTGTTTCTCGTTATTTTTTTCTCACGCTGCGCATCCCCTGAAGCTCTCTGGCGCCCCCCTGGGGAGGCACGCCTCACACTTTGAAAACCGCTGCACTAGAGTTTATTCCAAGAAATGTTCCGACCATTTATTCTCTTAAACCCCCTAATGTCCAAGAAATAAGTGACATAATAGATTAACTAAAATTATCTTCAGCTGGTCATGACAATATTTCTGCATCCCTTGTCAAACAGGTGAAGCATTCAGTTATGCAGCCACTTGCTCACATCTGGTCTTTGTAAACAGGCGTTCCATTGTTTAAAAGTAATGATCCATGTTGCTTTAATAACTTTAGACCCATATGTAGTTGGCCATGTTTTTCAATATAAACATTTACATAGGATTGTTTTTCATGTAGATTCCAATTCAATGTACACACAGAAGAGTTGCATGAATATGGTTTCCATATATTACGTACAAATGGCTGAAATATTGTGTTTCCCACAGAAGACAATTTGTTTGTGGTAAGGGTTTTAATTCCAGAAAAGCCAGACTACTCTAGGGGTCCCACAGGGGTCCTTTTAGGGACCATTATTATTCCTTTTATTCCTACGTTTATGATTTGTCAAATGTCTCAAACATTCTTTCTCCAATAATGTCTGCAGATGACACAACCCTAGTTCTCTTCTCGTTAAACTGATTCACTAATTATGGATGCTCATTTAGTCTAAAACAATTGCCTATGCCAATTGGTTTAGATTGAATAAACTATCTTTAAAAAAAACATCTAAAATGTATTATTAAATGAAACAGAACACTACAGACAACCACACACAGGATCCAGATTTAAATGTGACTTGTGTACCTCCTCCTCACACCAGTCATAGACCTTCCACTGAGAAACATGTCTGGCTCGGTGTCTCTTCCACAGCTCTAGGAACAGAGTGGCTGAAAAGAGTCAACCAGTTAAAGAGGGAACATGTTAGATAAGACTTAATAGTAAAAAACATTGGGTTAGATATCATAATACATTGAATGAAATCAAATTAGAAACTCACCCCAGATTGCCATGCACATAGCAAAAGCCACAGTTCCTTCATTGTCAAACAGGTGGCTGACCTGTGTGGATATAAACACTTCATGAGAAGGGCTGCCCCCAATTAGTCGACTAAACGTTAGTCGACAGAAAAAGTCTTAGTCAACACATGTTTCATTAGTCTATTTGTCGGAGAGAAAAAATACGCAGTCCTCTCAGACTTCATTCAGAGCTGTGCCTGGTCTTTACGTTAATTTTGTCAGGCAGGAAATCCAAAGTGTGGATCTTTCTGAGCCAGTAAAGGACGAGCCCCTCAAGGTGACATGCAAACTCCACAGGAAAAAAATCTCCTCCACATCCATTTCATAACATCTTAATAATAATCGTAATTATCCCCATATTTTTCCATTTGCTGTGTAGGATTTATTGGGTTGTTATATTCAGATATGAATGATAGAAACTAGACATAAATGCTCAGTGTGTGTGTGTGTGTGTGTGTGTGTGTCCTCGCTGCTTGTTCACACACACACAATAAGAATCCTTACCGGAGCTTCTGCTGTTTATACCACTGACGGGCGGAGTGTAACATTTAATTTCTGTTTCAAAAGGTTCATTAAAACAGTTTTATTTTATATTTTATATTAGCAAAACGTACCATGTTGTGATAATACCATTATTTAAACCGAAACCATTTTGGGAGAAAAAAGAAATAAATGATATTAATAATCATATATATCCTTTATTTAACCAGGTAAAAAGTCTCATTGAGATTAAAATCTCTTTTTCAAGAGCGACCTGGCCAAGAGGGCAGCATGAACAAAGTTACAATAAATGAACACAAAACAATACAGGCAGACGAATACAGCGGTCGTAAAACACAGATTAAATTGCACATTAACCAGTCAGTATGCAAATAAAAGAAACTATTATAAATCATTAAAAACTGGCACAATTTAAAACGACTTCAATTATGGGATATACGAGCAATCACATCGACCAATGGTGTCGTGTTCTCTGTCCTTTAAGATGGACTTGAATTCCCCCATAGTGATCAAATCTGAGAGTTTCAGCTCCTTCTGTATATTATTCCAAGCAGAAGGGGCAGCATATTTAAAAGCTTTTTTACCCAGTTCTGTTCTCACTTTAGGAACCAGCATCTGAATAATATATTGGGAGCGCAGGCCATATAGACTTAGTTTTTTACACATATATGTGCAAATATAAGAGGGAACCAGCCATAGCAGAGATCTATGTATAACACCCTACCAATGGGAAAGTCTGCGTGCAGACAAAGATGGCCAATTAGCAGCAGCATACAAAGTAACAAAAACGTAATGCACAATGGTGCACTGTATCCAAACTCTTTAGGCACTGTTCAGAGGCCTTCATGTAAAGCAGATCACCATAATCCAATACAGGTAAAAACGTTGTAGAGATCAAATGTTTCCTTGTCTGAAAGGAGAAACAGGATTTGTTTCTGAAAAAGAAACCTACTTTTTGTTTTAGCTTTGAAACAACATTTTCAGTGTGTGACTTGAAAGATAAGTTCTGATCAATAATAAAACCTAGATATTCGTACAGTATGTAGTGACCCTTTCAATGTCAGTCCCTTGAACAGTACACATCTTGGGGAGAATAGAGGTTAACTTTTTGCCATTTGAGAATATACATGCGACTAGGGATGTCCCGATCCGATCACGTGATCGGGGATCGGAGCCGATCACGTGATTTTCACGTGATCGGGGATCGGGAGAAAAAAATCGGGGATCGGATTTTTTTTTTTTTTTTTTTTATAAAATATTTTTATACATTTTATTTAATGTTACAAAACAAAAATGACCATGTTCACGTCTTAAAGTCATCCTGAGGCCTTAGTTTTGGGTTAAAATTACACAACATCATGTATGTGTTGCTTCTTTTGGGCTTGTTTTCATAGACCTGGTTGCTTATTTCTCTCAAATCTGGCAACAGTGGGCGCAGTGTCTAATAGTAGCAGTAAGCTAACAAGAGGCTACGTTCAGCTGGTGCCTCGGGAGTCGGGACAGAGAAAATGTCAGGAGTTTGGAAGTATTATAAAATTGAAAGCGAAGGCAGTGTAACAGCCAGATGCAATGTTTGCAAGGCGGAGGTTCCGCGTGGTGGAAAGAACAGAGCTACGTTCAACATGACCAATCTAATACAAACACCACGACGAGTACACAGCGGCCACTCAGGTAACGGCACTGAAACAACCGACACTTTCAGAGACTTTTAAAAGGAAAGAGAAACTGCCCCAGAACAGTGAAAAGGCCAACAAAATAACAGCCAAGATAGCTGAATTCATCGCGTTGGATGACCAGCCGTTATCTGTTACCTTTTTTTTCCTCTTAATGCATTGCATAAAGATCGGATCGGGAAAAATCGGTATCGGCAGATTGTCAAAATCAAATGATCGGAATCGGATCGGGAGCAAAAAAAGGTGATCGGGACATCCCTACATGCGACGAATAGTCAATTTATCGCCTGAATTGACGACTATTGGTCGACTAGAAAAAGCCTTCAGTCGAGGGCAGCCCTAATCATGATATCTCTCATAAAGCAGGAAGAGCATAAATATGGTACAAAAAATCACATATAAGGCTTTTCCCAAAAGCAGGAGTAAGTGAAGTCCTGACACACCTCTTCTTCACAAAGCAATAGCTCAACACTCATTACACAAGACTGACTGGTGTAGGCCGGTCGGCTTGATAAGATCTGACCCAATCTCACAAGTAATCACAAGGACAGAAGAGGGAGCAGGTTACACACATATGCCATACAGAACACACACTGAAGACAAGACGCAGGACACACTTACAGCACATGTAAGATCCATTTGCGAAAACCTAAGGCAGTGTGCAACTTATCTGCCTGTCTTCCTGTAGAATGTACCTCACGTCACATGAAATACTTTCCACCTGACTTTTAATGATGTTTTTAGATACATCCAATGTCATCTTCACACATACACATTTCAGTAGAAAAAACTACATATTTTGTTCATGCAAATCCAGCATGGGTTAATATCTCCCATGATTATTCTGTTTACAAGATTAGATTAGTGTGGTGAAGTGTCTGCACAGAGCCAACTAAGAAGACACCAAACGCCCGCCTACCGGCCACCTACTGTTCAGCATGCTACCATCTGGCATAAAACACAGCTCCTCCACTGTCATCCTCCACACCCCACCATAAAATAATTTAAGATTTGTATTGTGTAGCATAAAAGGAGCACAACTTGCAATGTAAACAACGGATTAAGTTGTGTGGTCCTTACCATTGCTCTTTCCAATGTGAGTGATCAAATCAACAGAATAACATGACATAAGAAGAGCTTACCTTAGCGTAGGTGCAGGTGTCTGACAGCTGCCACACGACACACCTCTTATCACAGCGAGGACACATAATGATGCTGGACTGACACACTTCCTTACTAAGGACACACAGAGAGTCAAAGTGTAAAGGGTTTTCAGAATAAAATGTCATTTAGAAGATTATTTTTTCAGAACAAACTTAGGTAACAGAAAGAGTTGTTGTCACTCATCACATAGACTTAGAGACATTTGGACCTCATGCAACAACCAGTCTCAAAATCACATTAGTTCCAAAGTGGCCAATAAAAGTAATTTAGGAGAACCTGTGGCGTTCACCAGTTTTTTTATTTGAAATGGGTGATGAAATTCATGAGACCTACCCAAACCAACTTACAGTTAAAAACAATACAACTTGAACTGGGGTAGGGCATTGAAATTGAACTTGTTAGTCTGACCACATACATTTTTGTTACCACACTAAGCTGGTTTAAGTCCTTTTTATCTGTACTATCTCAGTTTGTACGTGTCAACGATGAATCTTCCATGCAAACTAAAGTTGGTCATGGAGCGCCACAGGGCTCTGTACTATTCTTTTCAACTTGTATATTCTTCTGTTAGGCAATATTATAAGGAATCACTCTGTTACATTTCGTTTGTATGCGGATAATACTCAATTATATTTATCAATCAAGCCTGATGAAACTAATCAACTAAATACAATTCAAGAATACCTCAAGGACTTAAAAACGTAGATAACCTGCAATTATATGATTTTAAAAACAGACAACTGAAGTTATTGTGAACTCTGAAACAAACTATCTAAAGATATACTCACTGTTGGAGCCACAATGTATGTGTCTTTGTTTTGATTGTATCTGCACAAGTTTAATGTAACATGCAGTTCTGCCATTGAACACAAGATGGAGCATTCACTTGGTATTCACAAAGTTCTCCCGCTCCAATCCCTCAGTGGCTTAAGTATAGATTAGGTTAAAAAGTCACTACACTCACTCTGGATGGCATTAACTTGGCCTCCAGCACCACCGTAAGGAGTCTCGGCTTTATCTTTTATCAGAATTCGTCCTTATCATTATACCCCTGCATTCTAGGAATGGTTATTCCAGTTTGTGTTTGGGCGGCCGAGGTTGATAAAGCTTATAGTTAGGGCCGGCTCAGACTTGCCTTGAACCAGACCCTAGTTATGCTGCTATAGACTTCCACTGTCGGGGGACATTCAACATTCAACGTTCACTTTTCATCTCTTTCTCTTCCTCTTTAGAATGCACTCACGTTCTCTCTATACATTCATGTCCCAAAACATGATGGCATAATAGCCTATAAGTTAAGAATGCTCACTCTGATGGTCATCATATTTAGGCTATTGTGTCACTTATCCTCCATTCGGAATTTGACTGTATCAGAGAAGAGGTAGGCCTATGTCTAAAGAAATCTCATTTGCAATAGAACTGTACCAGATACTGGTTAGTGTTCAATAGCACCCTAGACAATTCAGTAATGGTATATTTTTTTAGGGATTTCTGTTTTTCTGATAAATGAGAGAAAAGTGATTGAGTCCTATGTTCCCATCACCAAACAGTACAACTTCCGTCTAAACTAAAGCTAGGTTTACAGGACTATAATTCAGTATTCTTTTAGGTACATAATTGTCTGACTATTTGGTGATGTAGGACTGCCACCTGGTTCATACCTCAGCAAATCTGAAGAGGAAAAGAGTGGCCATTCTCAAGTTATGGGCTTCTTTGTCACCTTTCCCATATTCGGCCTGGCCTAATTTGGCTCTTTTTCAGGGATAGGGGTAGTTCTAAAGAACAACCAAAAAAACATTTTTTCCCCCAAAATAAAATTTGACAACAATCAATTTCATTAATGGGAGACCCTAAAGATAAGAAAAATCATTGTTGTGTTTTGTTCTACCTCGGGTAGGGGTATCTCAAAATCTGAGGGCCCTTCCTGCTAGACTATAACTCAACATCTGGGGCATGATTCCCAGGGTTTTTGTGTCTCTGCCAATATTTAAGTAGTATACAAATTTAATTTGATTGGTTGTTTATTGATAGATTGATTGGTCTAAACTTTCCCACACACAGATCAGAAATAATTACATGGAGTGCTTTACAACAACTACAGATGTCCTTAATTTTTTCTAACTGGTTCAGAAGGACTGTATAAATAAAGTTATGTTAACAAAAAAGACCAGTGTTTCCCACGTTTAAGTTCATTTACCATATAATATTGCCTTCTCAGCTTCTGACTCACATTAGAGGGTTGGAGTTGAAAAAGGCAAGTCCATAAAGGAAAACGACCACGCCCAGAGCAGCGGCCGGGACCAGCAGTTTGGTATACCAGCCCAGCCACAGGTAGTACAAAGCCACTTTCTCTCCGAAGTAATTCCTGCAGGGAGGAAACACACAGGCAGACATGAAGTAAAAAAACATTGGCAACTATAAAAAGCGTTTGATCACCTGGGACTTTCTCATGTTTTATTGGTTTACAGTGTTTAATCACAGATATTTTTCATAAACAAAATACATTTTGATTAATGTTTGTTAACAGGTCTCTTGTCAGGTTTAACAAGTAGTGAGGGTATACTGGGAATATCTGATCGAGTCCCCTATCTCCAAGGTTATCAAATTCAAATCTCAATAATTTTCAATTACGCTTTTAGAGAAGTGCCCTTTCTCGATTTTCACGAATCAATAACATTATCTACATAAAACACCACAAAATTTGATGCCTGCAACACGTACAAAAAAGCTGGGACAGGGGCAACAAAAGACTGGGAAAGTTGAGGAATGCTGAAAAAACTCCTCTTTGGAACCTTCCACAGGTGAACAGAGGTGGGAAGTAACGAAGTAGAAATACTTAGTTACTGTAATTAAGTCGATTTTTCAGGTATCTGTACTTTACTTAAAGTGGACCTATCATGCTATATTTGAAATATATATTGTAGGGCCATACCTATATAAAACATGTCTGTGAAGTTTTTTTTTCAAAATACCAAACAGATCATGCATTTTAGCCATGCCTCATTTCGCTCCATTTGCTCTTTTCCAGCCCTGTTTTTGCAAGGCCTGATTCTGTGACGTAGCTTTAATGCAAATGAGCTGCAGCTGACCACGCCCCCCCCGCAGGAGAGGGGGGCGTGCTCAGAGATCAGCTGCTGGGCTGTCAGAAGAGGGGGAGGAAAAGAGGCCAGAAGTTATCGTTTGGCTCAGGGGACGCAGATCAGTGAAACTTCCTGCAGACTCGTGCGGACTCAGAGCCATAACCGTAGCAGATCCAGAGATCCAGACTCATCATGCACGAGTCAACAGCAGACTCAGATTCGCAAATCCTGACTGACTGAATCAAGGGAACTTCCTTCACTGTGCTAACATAGCAGACGCTGAATCGCTGATACTGACGGAGTGACTCGAGAGTCAGCGGAACTTCACAGACACAGATTCGGTGAGCGGACTGAATGAGTGGATTACACCACACAGAGCGAAACAGCAAACTAGTTGGTCGGACTCGTCATGGTTTTCAGACTCAGTGTCAGCTCTGTTTGTGATAACGTAGATGCATACTGTGCACAGATCATTTGACGACTTCACCCAGTCAAGTGTAAGAAGCCAAATACTGCAATAAACAAGCATTAAGACACAAACGTTGTTAGATCATGTTTGTGTAGCGGAGGTTAGTGTAACGTTAGTTTAATATGCTCGTGAAATGCAAATCTCAAGTGGCAAATTCAAAATTACAAATACACAAACAGTAGACTGCCGCCCTCACTAGTAGCTCTAAAATTTGAATGTATTTGAAGTTGGAGACTATGGGCTCCTATTTCACCAGTAGGATTTCTACGCTCTTGGTGATGCCGACTCATGACTCAAAGGACTCGTATGATTTGCCATCTCTACCCAGAAACTCCGCCGGCTCCTCTGGGCCGAGCTCATCTGAGAGGGACTGTTGCAGAGTGGAAAAGTGTTCTGTGGTCTGATGAGTCTACATTCCTAATAGTTTTTGGAAATCATGGACGTTGTGTTGGCTAAAGAGGAAAAGGACCATCCAGATTGTTATCAGCGCAAAGTTCAAAGCCAGCATCTGTGATAGTGTGGGGGGGTGTTCGTGCCCATTAATGCTGAAAGGTACAGACAGGTTTTGGAGCAACATATGCTGCCCTCCAAGTGATATCTTTTTCAGGGACGTCCCTGCTTATTTCAGCAGGAAAATGCCAAGCCACATTCTGCACACATTACAACAGCTTGACTCCGTAGTGAAAGAGTGGGGGTACTAGACCGGTCTCCATTGAACATGTGGGGTGCATTATGAAGCACAAAATACAACAACGGAGACCCTGGACTGTTGAGCAACTGAAGGTGTACATCAAGCAAGAATGGGAAAGAATTCCACCTACAAAGCTCCAACAATTAGTGTCACACACACACGGACAGACAGACAGACAGACAGACACTGACTTGACATCGTTGACTGGTTGTCCTGTAAACAGACCCGACCATCGAGCCCACTTCTTCTTCAGCTGCTTCTGCTTCTTTCTCTGTGGTGAAATATCAGCACATACATCGGGTGTTTATCCTACTCAATATGCATTTACACTTTGTAACATTAATATTACACATGGGCGGCGCCAGAGATTTTCTTTTGGGGTTGCTGTGGGGTAGCTTGATGTTTCAAAGAGGGTGCTCAAACATTAAGGGGTTTCCCATTAATGTACTGGGCACTACAGTTGAATTTTCTAATGCAACACTCCCCACACGCACATACACAGTGTACCCGCGACTCTTACGGACCGTCTACACAGCAGCGTTAAAAAAAATCTTGAAACGCTTCTGCCCATTCACTTTGCCGAACTGCATTGTGGGCAGGCGAGCGGAGATTTTCAGGATTTTCAGGATTCAAAGTTGAACAATGTTCAACTTTTGAGGCTGAGGTGGAAGCGTCAGCCAATCAAATCCTGTGTACGCAAATCTGACAGTTCAAGCTCTAGCCAATCAAACGGCGTGTATGCTGGGAGAGACATACCGCAGGTCATTTCCTCATATTCCAAAACATGGAGGAGAAATTAGCGGTAGCGAATCACCCGGTGCTTTATGACCAGTCCCTATTTACCTACCGGGATATAAACCGGAGGAGCCAGGCATGGAGGGAGGTGGCAGAGACAGTGGTATGTTTTCGCCTGTTTGGGGAGTTTATATCCAGTTTACTTCAAACTTTTTTGCTTCGTATGTCGCGGGCGGGAGATTCATGTGATTGGTTGTTCGCAAAAAATCCCCAAGCTTCAGATACGCCCACCTCCAAGATTTTTTTTAACGCTGCTGTGTAGACGGTCCGTTACAATGAAGGCTCGATAATCAGCTCATGGCATATAGGCTAGGTGTAAGCAGATTTACTTTTTCATATGGATATTTTATTAATCACTCTCCTTTTAAATTGTATTCTTGTTTTACTGTCATATAGTATTTCATACCAGTTTTTCATTTATTCTCTTGTTTTTTTTATAACTATAATGATCATATAAAGGTGTGCCTCGGAAATACTGGTTTACATAAATGGTGATCAAACAATTTGAGACCCACTGATCGATCTCTCGATCTCGATGTGCCAAAATATATAACTATATATATATAGATGTATATAGATATTAGGGCTGTCAAGTTAACGCGTTAATAACGCAAAAAAGAATTAACGCCACTAATTATTTTAACGCGATTAATGCATGTGTATTTTTTGTCCTCGGCCGCCCCGTAGTTTCAGAGCGCATCGAGTTTAAAATACCATCTACAAGCTGATGCTGACAGCCCCGCTCCTGCCGCCCGCTTGTGGCAGACCACACTACCACGCTCACCGGCAGGCCCGGACTGGCCATCGGGAGGACCGGGAGGGTGTGTGTATGTGTGGGGCGAGTGAGGCACACCTTACGTGTTGTTGTTGTTGTTGTTAGCATCTGGTGCTAGCTAGCTGCGCTAACGGATATAAGGAGCTGTTTCAATGAAAACAGAGGAGCGACATTTCGCCGACAACTGCGCCGAGCACTTGACTTTATGCAGGTAGCCAGACAGTGGGACATTGTACGAAAAGTCAGCACACTCAGTGCGCGCAACATGATTGCAGCTTCCAGGCAGCTCCCGTTCGAGCATATATGCCTTGAGCAGCACATAGCTCCAACGATCCATCACAGGGCACGCGCACCCACACACCCACACACCACACACACACACACACACACACACACACACACACACACACACACACACACACACACACACACACACACACACACACACACACACACACACACACACACACATCACACACACACACACACACACACACACACACACACACACACACACACACACACACACACACACACACACACACACACACACACACACACACACACACACACACACACACACACATCACACACACACACACACACCACCACACACACACACACACACAGCACACACACACACACACACACACACACACACCACACACACACACACACACACACACACACACACACACACAACACACACACACACAACACACACACACACACACACACACACACACACACACACACACACACACACACACACACATTATTATTGTATGAGAGAGGTTCCAGGCGAATATTTTGTAATGTTCAGAGGTTGTTGTGTTAATATTCATGAGAACTATTTTGTCATTGTTCAAATGATATTAAACAACATATAAAGCATATTTGTCCACTCATATGTTGATAAGAGTATTAAAAACTTGAAAAATATCCCTCTAAGGTACATTTAGAACAGATAAAAAATGTGCGATTAACTATTTTAATCGACTGACACCCCTAATAGATATATATAGTTATATATATAGTTATATATTTTATAATATAGTTTGGCACATTGTCAGGTGGTAGTTAAGCGTGCAGATGTGTCATTCCGGTCAATATAACCATCAGAGAATCCTGAAGGACTAAAAACATGATTTTGCAATTGTGCCAGCAAAAATAATAAGATTGAAGGAGGACTTACTTCATGGAGGCAGAACATGGTTTCAAACACACCCTTCTTTATCAGTTCCTCCAGGTTTTCTGATCAATAACCATACCAAAAGCAGGAAAAATCAGCATCAGGGAACTCAAAATATCAAAACATGGTTAATTATCAATTTGCATGGCTGCCTGTGAATAGTCAAAATAGAGGTGATAATATAGAGTTCTTTGAAATAAATCACACTCACCTCCTGTGTTGATGAAGGTCTGATGAAGGATGAAATGGACAATTCGGATCCTGGAGGAATAATAAATGTTGCAGTAAGATAAAAAACCCCGGGCAGGATCCGAATGAGTAGTTTTAAAGAGCATGAATAATGCCGACTGCACAGGTGTTAGTATGCACCACCCACAGACCCACCTGGCTCCCACACAGAACACAACATTTTTACATAAAACATTTTGGTTGAATCCACATTTCCCAGCTCCTACATATACTATAATATACTCCATATATTGTGTTGAGGGCAAGACATAAGTCACCAGGGCTTGAATGAACACTTTCATTCACGTAGACAGTGAGGTGACTGGTGATGAATCTGCATCAGCTCCAGAAAGTGTGTTCAGCCTTATTTTTAAATCAAGTTGTATTTGGCTTGTTGCATTATTGCATGGTAGGGTACACAGAGCAGTACTATCTGTTTAAGAAAAAAAGCAAGGAAGTTAAAGCGGTGTTGTTGCTCAAAGTTGCTGCAGACTTTCATGTGGAAGAATTTTATGAAGCAGCATTCATCTGATGCCCTCTGATCAGTGTTCATGTGACAGGTCACAAATATGCTGTTTCTCCTTAAACAAGGACTTCGGTCAGAGCAGTGATACAATCAAATCTATATGTAAATGTTTATATTACCTGGTAGCCTGGGTGACAGAGCCCCTTACATCTCCACACCAGTTGCAGGAGTCAGAGACTTTGAGCAGGTACTGGTAGTCTTTGAACATCTCATTGGGAGCACGGATGCCAAAAAACACTTTGTCATCATGTTCAATCCTCTAACACACAAAAACAGCACACACAATAAAGGACACTCTGTCTTCTTTGATTCATACAATCCTTATCAGTACATCAAGTCAGGTGTCAGGTCACAGTGTTTTATAGAATTGTCTACAGTGTTGAGTGTATATAAGTCGCTTTGGGTAAAAGCCACAGATAATGATATGTAATGTGTAACGGAGGCAGACTCACTTTAACTGTGATGTTTTTCTCTTCTAGCTTCTGGATGAAGGCTCTCTGTCTCTGAGCCTTCTGGTCCCTTTCATCATCCACCTGATGGGCCACCAGTACATAGTCATATGTCTTCTGGGTGGGCTGTTCAAAAAACACAACATATTGTTCAATATTGTTAAGCAGCTCAAAATAAGTATTAGACTTAGTTTTGTCCAGTTAAAGGAAAGAGAAAAATAAAACAAATGAAAGATGTTAAACCTCAACTGTAAACAGTCAAATGCACTACAGATCTTTGCAAAACAGGTTTTGGTCAAACATCTCTGCATTGCTTAATGGAATACTCTGATTGGTCCATTTGGACATTCTATGGTGCAGCAGACTGTTACTAGAGATGCTGTAGGACCATATACAGTCAGCTGAGAGAGATTTGGAAAATGTAACGTTTAATAAAAATAAACTAATGTTAAAGGTCCCATGTCATGCTTTTCCGGTTATTACCCGTCCCCTTGTGTGTTATGAAGGTTTTTATGCATGTAAACGGTCAGAGTCAAAAACCCTCAAAGTACACCCTGTAGCGAGTAAAACTCTAACACAGAAAATACCTCCCCAAAACGCCTTGTTGGAGATTTCTCATTTTCCATTGTTTACTTCCTGGGTATCGTGACGTAGGAATGGCCAGTAGCCTGGCGTATCTGGCGGACAACACATGACGGGATGACCACTCTGATGCCTCGTCCTAAAAAGCCCCGGCAGCCGCTTACAAAGCTGCGATAGGCAAGATGCCGAAAACGCCTATAAGGGGAGGAATGGATGATATACAGTGTATATGTGTATATTTACACATGTTCATTTTGTACATTTCTAAAAATAAAGTTTGATGGAAATACTTAGTATCCTTTCTTCCCTGAATTATTTGCTCCTATAACATATCATTCATATATAGCAAACCATGATTTGATTTCTCATCGACCTCTAGGGGGGTCCGGGGGCATGCTCCCCCGGGAAGATTATTTTTTTTAAATGTTGAAGTTAAAAGCATCAATCTGGTGCACTTTGAGAGCAACATTAAGAGATCTATGGATACATCTCTCAACATCAATATGAAACAGAACTCTAAGCAGATTTTCTTTTTCTTTATGGATATTTTACAAATCACTCCCCTTTCAAACTGTATTTTTGTTTATTAATAACAACTTTTTTTTACTGTCATATAGTATTTTATACCTGTTTTTCATCTATTCTCTTATTTTTTCATAACTATAATGATCATATAAAGGTGTGCCTTTACCTCACTGAGCTGAGGTTATCAGAGCGGCTCAGTCTTTCAGGGGAGAGCTCTCTAAAGCTCTCCCCCCCGCGGCCGCTTACACAGTAAATTCCAATGTTAATAAAAACACACAGAAGCTGTATACGTTTTTTGGGAGTTTGATTTATTTTAAATTAACACAAATACAAAATTAAAACTTATAATTGCACACTAAAACCATTATTTCAAAAAAGAACAATTTCACATAAGCCTCTGGTTTTTACTGGGCCTGGGGCAGTTCAACTTGATTTTGGGGTGGGGTGTGCCATATGGGCGCTGTACACAATATAGGCGTAGTTCTGTTAGTCATTGTCCATTTGATTCTTCCGGGTACGGCATGATGTCAACCCGTACCCGGAACGAAATGGACCAATCCGTGGAGCAGTTATGTTAAGCCCCCGCTGATTGGTCCAAATTGACCAATCCACGGACTTCCTCACACACACACATACACAGTGCAGGCAGCTCAGCTGATTTCTCCTCCCTGGCTGCAGGCTGATAACAGACAGTTGGGATTGCGGCGAAATTCTCTCTGCAGACCCATTCTCACAGCGTTTATCAACCTTTTTCTTACTCAATATCAAGCCACACTTATTGTTTTTACTTCGGCTGTGACTTTGTGTGTGCTCAGGATGAGTTTGGCTGTGTTTCGCTGTGTATCCTAAACAAGGAAACAACACCTCCACGGAGCTCAGCGCGAATCACAACGTCCCGACCAATCAGAGCACACTGTGCTCACAGGGAGGGTGGGGGCTGGAGCTATTGGAGCTACAACGAGCCGTTAAAGGCAGAGAGTGAAATTCAGTGAATACACGTAGTTTACAGAGATGCTGTATGAGAAACCAATGTGAGTTTGGAAAAATGCACAATATAAATCTATTCTAGTAGACCTCAACAATGGAATTATGATCAGTGGAAATGGCCATGACATGTCTCCTTTAAATATTACACATCTGCCGTAGATCTTTATTTATAGAGCCCTGATTAGAAGACCTTTGGACAAACTGGAAGACCTCTGACAATAAAACTGAATGCATGAAGTGGATCATAAATATGACGCATTTAAACATCTTTAATTTCTCTTCACACAATACGTCTCCTTGCAGTATCAATAGTAATTCGGCTGATTTTCATATTGATCAAATCGATAGATAGGCTTTTCTAAAACCCTTATCACAACAGCTCTTTGCATACCAAAAATAAACTACAAATATGTTGTCGTTTTGCATCACGGTACAAAGCTGATATAATGGAACTTGTAGTTTTTAAGGATATTATTGATTTTCTTTAGAATGTAAACACTGAGTTGAGAGAATAGTCAGGGGTTTTAGGTGATGGGAGACACATCTATGGAATCAGAATTGCAATATCTAACCGTTAAATGACTGAAAGTCATTTTTCAACCTATTTTAAGGAAATAAATAAAGCTTTGCCAGTTTGGGTCCTTATCACAACTGATCAAGATGGCCAAAAGATTCTCTGCTCAGAGGGCCTTGCAAATGATTTTGGAAGAGAGAGAACCATTTGATGATGATGTAGAGCAGGGGTGCCCAACCAGTCGATCGCGATCGGAGATTCCCAGTCGATCGCGAGATGTGTCTAAACATAGAACAACAATATTCAGTTTTATCGTTAATGTTCTATAACATAAGAGGCTTCTCAATACTCTAATTTCCCCTCCTCGACTCCTCGGTCCTCCGGTAGTGACCCGGAAATGGATTTCAGCGCGCCATGTTGAAGGACATCTAATTTCTCTAAATGCACATCGAGGACCGAGCATTGAGCATTGAGGAGGCTCTCTGGAGGAGCTATAACCGAGGAGACACTGATGGGTCCTCCACGGTCCTCAACGGCTCCTCCGCGGATGCATTTCTGGGAACGGTGGAGGCGTGGACGCACGGCCGAACTTATCTCAGCCAATGACAGCTCTGCATGCATCCCCTGGTTATTATTTTAGTAACTGCTTTCATCGCGACGCGATGTTTACAGAGAGAACAGCTGTGAGGTCCGTGCAGAAAGCAGAGCAGTGTGTATAATATATATCACTCAGTATAACAGGCCTACATTACTCTCTGTATTTGTATGCTGTAGTTTAGTAGATATCTACAAACAAAGAGTCGATATTTTTCTAAGACCATTTAGTGCTTCACATAATAAAATATACAACGGCTGTATCCTGATATCATATGCTTTAGGAGCTATAGGTGCATGTTGTACAGTGTGTAGGTGCGTGTTGTACAGTGTGTAGGTGCATGTTGTACAGTGCGTAGATGCGGCGGACAGACAGTCTCAGTTGGTTTGGTGTCCTATGCTTACTTTTAATACTTGTAAATACAACTTTTGGCCCGTAATTTCAATTCCCCATTTCAGCGACCAGAGAGGGGGGGGGGGGGGGATATATCCAGTCTCTGATTGTGTTACGTTATTATGAGTGCTCTCATACTTTAAATTGTATATATTTATATAAATATATATGTGTGTGTATATGTCCGCATCTGTAGCCTGTTATTGTCTCATTATACCGCACTGTCAATGAATTAAAAGTAAATATATAAGTCGTCATGAACACATCTGTCCATCACACAGAGGGCTGCTGTGCCTCCTGTCATCATTAATGGACGCCTCTTTAAAATGACCGCTCAGAGGAGAGGAGTTCTCATTTCTCTAAACGCCTGCTGCTTCCCCTCCTCTCTCCTCGGTTCCCCTCCTCGAGTCCTCCGCTCGCATCTCCTGTGGGCGGGACTAAGTCTCGAGGATAGGAGTCGAGGAGGGGAAATTAGAGTATTGAGAAGCCTCTACAATCTTCCTGTGCCAGAATAATGCACTTGAACTCATCAAAGCGTTGTGATTGGCGTGACCCCATGTGTCGGGGCGTGGCTGGTGGGCAGTGGGCACTAGTTCGCTGACGTTGTCCGTGGCAACAGGAGTGACAGTCCGCACACACAAGACCACAATTATGGCAGAAGCAAAAAAGCCCAAAATATATAATTTTCACTCCGAGTGGGAGGATGATTATTTTTGTATCTATTCCAATTCAAAGTCCATCTGTCACGGAATTCCCTCCTAACTCTGCCCTACGCTCCCAAAAGGTGAGGGACCTGAAAGGACAGCTAAATGCACAGCAGTCCATTTTCACCAGGCCCAACAACAAGAGCAAGGCTGCTACCATAGCATCTTATCGTGTCAGTCACGTTCTTGCCAAACACATGAAGTCTTTCAAAGACGGCGAAGTTGTGAAAGAAGCATTCCTGGAGGCTGCCGACGCGCTTTTTGGAGACAGTAGCATTTCAACAGGTTTTTGATATAATAAAAACTCAAGTTAGATACCGTTATTAATCAGCTGTAAATTTTAGTTTGTTTGAACTTATTCATTATAATTATTGTACAAAATGGTATAAGAATGCAAACTTAAATTGATTATAGTCTATTATCAATTCAGGTTAAGAAACTAGTGTTGCTTGCATCCTATTTTAAAGGCATTTCTTTTTATACTCTACTAAAATGCAACAAAAAAAGGGTTTGATTCTATTAATTTGGTCTTTTTTATTGCACTTTGGCAGCAGATTCCTGTGTAGCTTCAGATCTGAGTTGTCTTATTAGTAAGCCTAATTTATACTTTTGTAGTAACACTATTTTTATATAATGGCAAAGAAAGGGTTCAGAGTCTTTTCTTTTTTTCCTATGTCATATGTGGCAGCACTGTTCAATGTTTCTTGAAAACATTACCCACTATGTGACATGTGAATAAACTCCAACTCTGTATCAACAACACTGTTGTGTAACTTCAGTTAAATACGTGTGTAGATTAGAAAGAGGTAAGATAAAGGATCTGCAG